AATACATATCCTGACATATTTTTTACGACCTATGATGGTGAGAGAGATTGCCACCTGGCTAGCATAGATAAATTCGAGCCCGTGAAGTAGCTCATTACCCTTGTAAGTTAGGTAAGGCGTGATCTAAAAGCTCAGGCGAAATGGCTTAAACATGAAGCTGTTGCACTTAGTGATGTCGCAGATCGCTTTGATTGTGTGTGTAATTTATGCACGCGGATCCACATGAGATTAATTTTCTTTCCAACATCGAATATATAGTATATTCACCTCTTGTGCAGTCAGAATACGAGATTACTCTCGTCAGACTATGATTAACCATCATGAAGTTAAAATCGTCTCTTTGTAGTCTACACAATACATAGAGGGAGGCCTGTTGTAAAGTTCTAGGGTTTCCAAATGTTGCAGGGGGTCAGTGTCATTCTCTCTTTCTTTCTTTCTTTTCTTACTTTCTTTCTTTTTCATGTAAGTAAATGCAGTGCTTTTGTGGGATCTATGTAGGGGGGGCTCCATGGATTGATTGTCCTTGACATTGTGAAATAATGCAGCCCCCTACTTTATACAATGACGTGTTCACATGCACTAGCTCGGCGTGCTTCCTTGCATGCGCATGGGTTTTTTTCATCTTCTTATGCGATGCATGTGTGAAGAGGGGACTGAAGTGTGTGGCTTGTATATAGATAGGTTAAAAAAATTTTACTGTGTTTTTTCTTCTTCTTTTTCTCCATTCTTACACACTTACACACTTGTCAACATCAAGCCTTCAATTATAAATCACGGGTACGTAAAAAGGAAGGGTAAAAAATAATAATTAGACCCTTTTGTAATGTGTCGAGTACCGTTATCGATTCGTCTTATCGATGAGTTGATAGATCTGGCGTGCCGGAAAGTTTTGCTCGAGTCATGTGATTTGTTGCATGTGTCTTATATAGCGTGTTCTTTATTGCGGGTGAAAATAAGCGGCAACTAAAGATGTTAGACCAAGGGTAGAGAGTAATTTTGGGCATATAGTGTTGTGTAGGGTAGAGATTTGATAAGTTTCAACCTTCTTCCACGAGCCTAGCTATTGCAAGACTTGCGGAAATATTAGCCAAATAGCTAGGGTTTTTAAACCATGGTTCTGCAACATTTGAAGGGCCAAAATCAACGAGTTCTACCAGATTTAGTTAGGGTTTGGTTGCACTAATTAAACGTGCTTGCTTCTCTTTTTCTTGTATCATGATAACAAAATTAATTAGACGTTTATGATCAGTTAGGTAATTTGATATGCCGGCCCCAAAAGGGCATGGGAAAAAAGGGCTACCTCGGTGATTAATTTTCTTTCATCGTAGAGCATTGGCTTAATTAATGATGTGTTGTACGTGTATCACAAAAGAAAACTATCGAGAAGCCGCAATTACAATAAATATCTAAATAGGATCTTGATACCTAAACTTTTCGTCCAAAGATCTCATTCACATTTCATAAAAATTAGGTATCTAATCCGCAATTTGATCCTTTAAGAAAACCATCTAGTGTACCACGTTATCGTTCTTTGGTGCATCTATCAGCATCTAGAAATTAGGGATATCTTTTTAATAAGACCACAAGTTTTTGTGGGCCAACCTGATATGCGATCCGTGATGAATTTTTCTTGCGCCGAATTTAAACAAGCTCGAAGTTCGCCGCGGGCAGCTAAACTAAGGTGGAAACCTCGATCTCTCTCATTCACACAACCCTATTCATTTTCAACCGTAAACCTCGACCGCATTTCATAACTTGATTTTTGGCTTAGCTTGAAACAAGGGTAATTGGAACTAGGCTAGGAAGTAAATCAAGTTAGAGAAGGATGGAGCTGGAAATGTTGGTAAACATGAGAGAGAGAGAGAGAGAGAGAGAGAGAGAGAGAGAGAGAGAGAGAGAGAGAGAGAGAGAGAGAGAGAGAGAGAGAGAGAGAGAGAGAGAGAGAGAGAGAGGTGGGGGGCGATTCCATTCTTGGAATCCTCGAGCCCGCACAAATGGGGGAGCTCCTTCGTTAGTTTTGGGAAGAATTCTTGGACAACAAAGACATTCGCATGATGCCATCTCCATGATTCGAGCTCCTTGGCAATTTGAAAGGAGAACAAAAGAAGAGGGGGGGAAGACGGACATTCTCGTGGGATTCTTGGTCTGCACTGTGACTATTCAACCCCCGTTTTGACCCATTTTGATGTTCATGGACCGGGTGGCTTGGGAAGCAACTCATGGACCAAGGTTAAGGCGTTTTCACCTCACTATTCCAACCGAGTTTCAATCGGAACACTGACTGAACAGCCCCTGCTCGGCCTAAATCTACCTTGTCAGGAGCCGGTCTCATCAGCGTCTAGGTCTAGGCGAGCTTCCCCCCCGGAAGCATATGGAATTCCTCTGGTGGTATGTTTTTAGTTTCCATGAATTCAAAGTCAAAGCCGCACAAGTTTCTTTTGGGGAAATTGTCCGATCAGTCCTAAACATATTGTACAGATGCCAATTCAGTCATAAATTTCTTAATTTTGCTAATGTAGTCCTGAATCTTTACCTCAAATTTCAATGCAGTCATTCCAGTTAATTTTCGCCTAAACTTGCTAACGTAGCAATATACCACGTAAGATGGACGGCAATGACTGAACCAATGCCAATTGTCCAATCAGTCCTAAACCTATTGTACGGATTCCAACTCAGCCTTAAGCTTTTTACTTTTGCCAATTTAGTTTTGAACATTTATGTCAAATTCCAATGCAGTCCTTCCAGCCAATTTTTGCCTAAAATTGCTGACATGGTAGTGTGCCACGTAGGATGAACGGCAATAATTGGACCGATGCCAATTGTCTAATTAGTCATAAACCTATGGTATGAATGCCAATTCAATCTTGAAATTCTTAATTTTGCCAATTAAATCATAAACCTTTGAATCAAATTGCAATATAGTCCTTCTAGTCAATTTTCGCTTGAAATCGCTAATGTGGTGATGTGCCATGTAGGATGGATGGCAATAACTGGACCACCACGTCATCGATTTTCGGCAAACATTAACTGGAATGGCTATATTAAAATTCCACGCAAAGGTTAAAAACTAAATTGGCCAAATTAAAACATGCAGAACTGAATTGACATCCATATAGTAGGTTTAAGACTAATTGGGCGATATACACTTTTTAGCTTAGAGGCGTTGGCACATGTTTAAGAATTGTTGCATTCCATCCTAGAAGTTTTAGCTTATTAATTGCAAAGAACCTAGGCGTATGTTTAATCTTAGTTTTCATGAGATATCGGTATGTTTGAGATCTTTCATTCATGAGCTCACAGGATCCTTTCCTAGAGCGTTATAAATAGGGTTTATATTTATTTTGTTCAATACGGCTCAGGTTGCTTTCACGTTTGCTTTAACTATATGTTTAGTGAGTTGATTTTATTGCTTGCGCACTTAATTATGGTCTAGAAAAGGTTAGCGGTCACTATAACCTCATTTGATTTAATAATAAACGAAAAATCAAGTTATGATCAGTAAGGTTTGGGACAACCCGTGTGAGATGTAAGTGTCACCTCATAAGAGAGTTATACGCGTCTGCCTAGCAATCCATTGCACCCCCTTGAGGTTCATCCTCGGGAGGATCGCAACATTGGGTAAGTTTATATATAGCCCGCGCTCATATATATGTTTCATGAAACACTTATGATCAAGCTGAAGTGTTCGAGTTCAAAAATTGATGTTTATTATCATTTTCTACAATTGAGCGATGTGGGATCACTTTAACATATCTTTTCATGCGCAGATCAAATAAAAGGTGTCACGCGAAATTAAAGAATAGATCATAAAATGAGCAAGAAATCTTATGACAGAAGTAGATATTAAAAGAAGTATCAAGTTATCGAAAACAACTTCATTATCACGTACGTCCCAAAAAGAAAAAAATTTGGAGGAATTCAAGATTAGTCGTACGGTGATGTTAAAATAATCTTAATATAAATAAGAATTAACGACAAATCAAAAGTCAACAAAAAGAAAAAAGAAGGAAAAAAGAGCAAGCAATGCATTCATGTTCGTGTGTACGTGAATGGTCACAATCAACAGTCAAAACTAGCTAGGGTTGGTTACTTTCTTCTGTTTTTTTTTCTTGGCCAGTTAGCTAGGGTTGGTTCATTATGTGCTGTAGCTGTGATTAATTTGGAGGTAGATGGACCGAAATCAAAGAATATGTAAATGACTTTACATAGTTATTCAGCTTAAACTTTACTGGCTGTGAATTGCTGAAGGACAGAAAATAACATGTTGGGTAAAACATGCAGCATGCAAAGCATATCAGATTCATCACATTATTCTAACCTGAGTTTAGAAAAGCTACATACGAAGAGAAACTATATATGAACTCGAGACCATCGTCGAAAAGCAATTAACCAGAATATGATGCAAAATGGGCGTCGACTCGTGAAATTTTTCGAACTTAGGAAACTGTAAACGAGTCCCTGTAGATTTCCAGACACGACAATAAGCATGCCGGGTTTAGTAGGGGAAGCTTTATCGCTATTAATAAACTAAATCGTACCCAAAGAGAGAGGAGGGGCCGTGCAACGAGTTCTGGCAGAAATACTGATTTTTAATGCGTTTTCGTCAGATCCAAATGATGTATAACCCTAGCATTCTCGTTCATTCTTATTCTGGTTTGCTTCATGCTGATGCACTTTTCACTTGTATATGGACCTCCTGTTGTATCATTCTTCAAAGAGGTGTGTAAACCATACACATAAATGGGTGTATTACAAAAACAACATAGATGCGTTTATTTTTTTCTCACTGTTATGAGTGCTGCTTTTTTCTAAGGTACTGCCTAATCTAATTACAACATTGAGCTGTAAATGTTTTTAATTCACATGGAAATTATTATAAAAATTTGCTAAATGCATAGTAGAATTAAGACATCCACTTAATAAGAATGTCCAGGAATTGACAACATGGTAAGCATGTCCAAAAATTAACACTTAAATTAAAGAATTCTGGGGCAGGATCCGAGAGGGGAACAAAAAACGATATCGATCTTCAGATAATTAAAGACATAATTAAGTTTATGCTATGATACACACGGCGGATGTCGAATAAATGTGCACTTACTTAACATATGGAGTTTTCGGCTGTAAACATCCCGTGTATAAGGTATCTTATGCATGATAAGCACTCGAATACAAGGCCAAAACAGGAAAAACAAAAGAAAAGGAAATACTATGATTTTGTATGAGAGTCCTTGTTGCATTCTTCAAATCATTTGGCCATGATATACGACTGAGATGCTACTCTAGAAGCTGCAGGAACAAAAGAAACATTAAATAGAAGCATCTTACTCTGTTGCAGAAGTTGTTGATGATGAGCCAGGCAAAATACTCCGTGGAGCTTTATAATTCTTGTCTGACCAAACTGAGGCACTTATGAAGCGTTTGTGGGAGACAAATCTACAGGAGAAAACTGTTGCCACCTTGATGATGTTGCTGCTTATTAGTCCATATACTTTTTTCAAGAATTTTGCAACTTCTTGTTCATGACCATATCCTAAAGCAGCAATCTCTCACAAAGATTATTGAATAATAAACCCTCATCAAGAGATCTTAGGGAGATCATTGTCCAAAGTGATCTTCATCCAAGAGGGTGTTCCCCGAGTTTGGATTCAAGAACCGTTTCCATCCTCGTCTTCTTCGCTCTCGTCATCATCTTGCCGATGAAGAAATTTGGCACTAGTGCTCGTTTGGAATGGCAATCTCATTGGCGAGCTCATCAATTGAAGGGACGGCACGAGGGAAGTAGGCAAGATGTGTTGTTGCGAACTCGAGTTCAATAGATGAAGATGGTTCAGTTGCCTCGGATCTGTCTCGACAGTAGGGGTAAGATACGAAGGGTAGGACGGAAAAATCGGCGTCATCGTCGCGGACGGGCAGAAGTATAACTGGGGAGCAGCGGACGGAAGAGCCGAAGAGGAAGCGATTGATGTGGAATTTAGGGGATTTTGATCCGGTAGCAATTGAAAGCCGTGAGTCCCGAGTTGAGACAATGACAAATTCGAAGGCTCCCATTGATTATTATAGGAGTACGGCAAGGTGCTGTTCGGCAAGCCACTCAAGGAATAACTAACGATTGGGAAGAAGTTCTGAGCTGATACTTGTGCATGATGAGAGTTGACTGATGATCCCAAATGGTCATGCACTTCATCGGTCTCAATCCACTTGCCCTTCTCAGAAAGAGGCTGACCATTATGATCATCTATTTCGACTTCCTTGTTCTTCGCTCTCAGTGTGTTATAAGCATCGATGTTCCAAAACTTTGACCTCGCCATTGCTGAAGATTCGCTATCATTAACCCCGTGATCGACACTACTCTCAGTGATCTTGACCCCGTGCTTCAAGAATGTTGTTGAGCTTGTGGGGAGAAAGGGAGAGATCAAGGAAGGTTGAGAGTTGGCGCTTGACGGTTCATGTGGGAATAGGATTTGCTGGTGGAATTGGCCGAAATTTGGAGGCAGCTGGAGCGGCGGCAACCTGTCGATGTCTTGTTTAGAGGCATCTAGCAACCAATCGATGACTTTGCTGGGTTGGCTGAGCCCTAGCTTGTCTTGAAGATCATACAATTGAATTGCTGTGGGCACGGAGAGCCTAATCCTCCTATCCCTCAGACCCCTAATAGTGCAGACCTTGCTGTGCCTATCTTTGCCTCCGAAGGAGCGCGAGACGCGCACGATCCTCGGGTTTCGGAAACCTGACCACTGCCTGGAAGTTGATGGCGGCACCAAGCGGGACATACTCCTGCTGATCTCATGCTTTTCTTCCTCTTGCTTCGCTGATTGAAAACCTCCTCCTCCTCCTCCTCCTCCTGGAATTGGGTTCATCTTACTCCTCTCATGATCATCAGGACGCAGAAGATTGGCTGCGATAAGAATTCTCAAATTGTTAACCTATGAAGTCACCTCCTTTCCTCTATATAATCTCAAGCACAATTCAGCTGATTTAGGTTGTCATGCATTGATTTGCAGCAGTATGCAATAACTACAGATTAATTAATAAGAGCGAAAAAAGTGATATTGAGTAATTAGTTACAGAATGAAACATATCACCAAACAAGCATGTTCTTTCTCCTTATGACATGAAGCAACTGAAAGAAGAACCCTATGACAAGTACACTTTCCCAAATCAAGAATTGGCGTAGAGTGCGACTTTTGTTTTTCGATGATTCGAGAATTCTTTAATCGAGTACTCAACAAACCACCATTTAATTTGGTTAAAAGACATCTCCTGATTGCTAAATGCTCAGTGTCCCAATTTGAAAACCTAATGGATGATCGTTGAGCATCTTGAAGTGAAAGTAGAACCTAATTTTGGCCAAAGAGGAAAGAATCTTGCACCTGTCAACAGATCTGGAGTTCAATTATCTGATTCTGAAGAAGGAAACCTACTTTGAGGAAACATAATGAGCTAGTATTTGCACATCCTCTTTTGAAAAAGAATGTTTTAGCGAATATAAACTCAACAAAAATTCTCAAGAAAATATGTAAATCACTGCTCGATCATGAACTTACTTCAGCTAGAGAGCAATAACCATCTTGATAGCAGATCAAGATCGGTCCCTTCACTTCCCAAGAACTGCAAACGAGAACAATATGTATCGCTTGAGAGGACGACGAGTCCGGGGAGAGAGTGGAAGCGAGCGAGCGAGCAAGAGAGAGAAAGAGAGAGTATCAATCTACAGACAGTGAACTGCACTTTCACAATATAAGTTCAATTGAAGAAATATTCACTCTTTGCTGGAGGATGGAAAACAAAAAGATGCCGAAAAATTAACCATGGCATGTTGCATACTATGTTGCATGGGAATGATGTGAAAAGAGGTATGGCATATCTTGCTCCCATTTGTTATCTGCTGAAGTTGCCACGTCAGCCGGACGATTCAAGAGTCCTGTAAATCATAATTATTATACATCATGTATACCGAATTGAGATTAGCTAGTATTAATACAACACGTGTTATTTCTCTTCTTTTTCCTGTCATTAAGAGATCAGTTAAAAATTGAAACAAACCCATCAAAAGGGTAGGTTTTAAACTCAAAGGGGACCATTGCAAAGACATAATTGAAAAAGAGAGAGAGAGAGAGAGAGAGAGAGAGAGAGAGAGAGAGACTAGCACTTTATTTGACGCAACAAGAGAAGAGAATAGCTTTATGGGGTGTACTCCATATAGCATGATATGATAAATGCATGCGTAGCGGAGTGAAAATGATAGCAAGGTAGTGAAAAATATCATGCCGTAGAATTATAATTCTGTCATCTTGTGCGATCGTAGAAAATATTTATACATAAGACAGCAAAAACACACACATAAAATCTTGTTTTAGCTGAAGCAATATAGTTTGTGAATTTTGTGAATGAATGAGAGAATGTGACTGCTATCAATCGAAAGAGAATGGTTTTCTGTTTTTAAAGAAAGTGTGTGTGAAGTGAATCAAAAGTCAGAGAAGAGATGGGTCATGATCGTCTTGTGGCTTCCGAAGTTGTGGTGTGAGCAAAACTGGTAGTTTTTCATCAAAACTGCTTGGATTTAGATGACGGATTTCTAGCTCTGCCTACATTGTAGGGGAGGGACCAAAAAACAAATGGGTTCTTTAAAGCATCCACTCAGTGTGTAGAGAGAGAGAGAGAGAGAGAGAGAGAGAGAGAGACCGCACGTATTGGCAGTGAGATATGCATATTGTACATATATACAGAGATCTCAAACCTAATAAATACTAACTACACCCAAGAAAACTGCAGCTGTATATCTTCTTGGGCCTTTTTTCTTCTCTCTATGCTTTCTTTGCCTATACTGCTAAATTAAACAGATTTCTAATTGTTGAAGATCTGGCTTCAAATATGGTTCTTGATCCAAAAGGACTTTTTTTTCTTTCTTTTATGGTAAGCAAGTCACTCTAATTAAATTACAGATGGAGGAGCAAATTTTCTTATAGCTTCTTGACTATAGGAACATGGCTTTTTCAGGTTCAATACATGTGTGGAGCTCCTTTATGGGAGAGGTGCGAACACACAAATTATAAAGTTCAAGCGGTAATGAAAAGACCTCAGCTAAGCCCTAAGAGAACACTTAAAAAATTGCTTTTACTATGTATATATATATATAGAGAGAGAGAGAGAGAGAGAGAGAGAGAGAGAGATGTTTCAGAGAAAACCTTAATGATCTGGAAGAAAAAAAAAAAGGAAAAATGGAATCTTCACCAAAATAATTGAAAAGCTGAGAGATTTGCACGCAGTGTTGCAGTTGTTCCAGTCAAAAGCTGAGGTCTACTTTTATTTGCCCAGTACCTTTTTTTTTTCTTCTTGAAATAAGGAACCCTAGTAATCTCTCAAAGTTTGAAAGCCCTAGAAAAACCCTAAGACCTGTGCCATTTGCAGCTTTTAGGAAGCAATCAGAAATAATTCTTGTTTCTGTTCTCAGTGTTATAACAAGCAGCCAAAAAGGGAAAAGGAAGGAAAAAAAAACTGGACCTCTTTTCTTTAATAGTGTTCGAAGACAAGCAGACACTGGCAAGATACGGGTGATACACGTTCCATTTTTCTGTTTTTGGCTACTCTCTCACTCACTCTCACTCTCTCTCAAACACAGCAAACCACATTCCCTAAGCTTCATTCTATGAGATTTGATTTTAGTTCAGATAGTTTTTTTTGGTGAGGATTTTAGTTCAGATAGTTTTTTTTTTTTTGGTTAAAATTTTAGTTCAGATAGTTACTATTTACATATTCAAACGAAAGGACTCAAATTGGTATATGCCACTATGTACACATCATTAGTTTGATCTAAATGAGTTTAGCTAGCTAATGTTTACAGTTTGTCTATTCTAACATATAATTCTCTCAGAGAACTATGAGTGAATTTTGCTTTCGTCGCACTAAAATCTTTTTCTCGTGCTGTTGTCTACTAAGGCTACACAGAGACATGGTCCCTACATTGGCAGATCCCAAAGCAGGCATGCTGCTTTGCAAATGACATTAATCTTCTCATCAGTCATGAGCTCTCCCAATTTATCTTGCCATTTCAAGCCAGAGAAGAATATGAAAAACGATTCTGACCGATCAGTTATTTATTTAATCTGCAGAAGTTAAATGGGGCAAAAGATGATGTCCATTTAAATAATTTTCAAGAAATGTTCTTTCTGATGCAGAATTAAGGAATTCTAGCTTTCTCTTGAATTCTTGAACCAATAATTCACAACCCATGAAAGTGGGATTCAACGAATAGTGTAGTTCCAACCAAATGTCAGTCTTAGCTACAACTGAGGGAAGGGACTTCAGTCTTTCGAATCGACCAATTGGCAAGGAATTACTTTGGAAACGGAACTTAAGTATTATCTACATCTTTCGCTAGCTTAAAGCTTAGCAAAAGTTCTTTCCCTTGGATATACTTAAGCATACCTGAATAGGGATGAACCCCTCAGGCAATTCTTAGGATGAGAACTGACGCTTCTCATCTAAGTGAAAGTAAAGATCTCCTTGTAGAACATCACCTAGAAACTGTCGTATATAGGTGTCGATGAAGAGCCTTTCAAGCAGAAAGATGTTTGTTAAATCAAGTTCAGCAAGTGTGGACCTCAAGATGCTCCTACCAGTTACTTACTATCACCATCATCACTGTCGTCATCATGACTCATTGTTGCATCAGAGAGAGAGAGAGAGAGAGAGAGATCCACAGTCTAGTTGTCTCTTGGAAGGGAATAATGGGGTGGATAGATACTGAGATATGGAATAACAAAATGATGAAAGAATCATAGGCGATGGCATAAAAAAAGAGAAAAAAGTATTTATACATTAAAGTCTTTATGGGTACATGGTGTTTACTAATTCAAGGAGCATCTGTGGATTCTGGCTTTTCCTACTCTCTTTCTGTCTCCATCTTCTCTGATGAGGCCATTACTATAATATGCCCAAGAAAATGACAGCTAAAGCTCAGAAAAGAACAAGGAGTGAACCAGCAGTGATCTAGCCCAAGATAAATGCCTTCTGCTCATCAATACGTACACAGATGGAGCAGAGGAGACAAACAGCAGAATTACCTCTTTCCCCCTCTCTGCAGCTCACCTCCACGGTCATTAAATTTCCTTCTGCTAAAAGACTGACAATCAGAAGTTGCTACCTTTGGAAATGCGAGGATACCCATTGAATAAACGCCTAGAGAATAGGCGCTTCCAATATCTCCCCATAAACCACGAGATGATAGCCGTTGGATCATAAAAGAATAGATCCCGATCATTCATTTTGAGAACTTTTCTGCTGTGCGTATGCTACTATTCCTTGCATTTTACTTACAAACAACCAGGATCAGGTTCTCGAGAAACCTTAAGGCTGCGAATAATAATCATTTTGTTTCTCTATTCTGTTCCAGAAATAGGTTTGAAACAGAAATCCGTTTGGTAACGCAATTCCATTTTCTATTTCTGGAATAAATTTTTGTTCTAGAAATAAGTTTGAAACAGAATTCAGAAGTTAAAATTTTTTGCTTTTTTATTTCTGGAACAAAAATGAGAAGTTAAAATTTTTCTCTTCGCTCGTCTTTGCTACTAGCCGGTCGCCCACCCGTTGCCCATTGCCGCCTACTTGCCGGCCACGGCCACCCGCCACCGCCCGCCTCCCACCGCTAGCCGCCATCCACTGGCCACCGGCTCCCGCCGCCGCCTGCCACTGTCTCTTGCCGCCGGCCTCCTTCCTCTCGCAGCCACCTGCCTTCGGCCGCCGCGCTGCTGTCCACCGGCCACCGCTCCCACCTCCCCCCGCCCTCCTCTCGCCGCCGGCCACCGTCTCCCACTACTGGCTGCACTCCTCCCGCTGCCACCCGCCTCCCACCACCAGCCATCGTCTCCCGCCACCGGCCTCCCTCCTCCCGTCACCGCCCGCCCGCCTTCGACCACCTCCCATCGCCGATCGTCGTGGGCCGCCACCCGCCGCCCACCAGCCACCGGTCGCGCCTCCGACCGCCCTCCTCCCATCGCCGCTCGCCTCCCGTCGCCGTGGGCCACCGCCTGCCATCCACCGGCCACCGTCTCCCGCCACCAGTCACCCTCCTCCCGCCATTGTCCTCCTCCCATCGCCGGCCACCTCCAGCCGCCATCCTCCGCATTGGCCGCATCGCTGTCCGCTGCCGCCTCCCCCCACCATCCGCCACCGCCATTCGCTGCCACCATTCGCCGCCTGCCGTCCGCCACCCGCCATCCACTCTCCGGCCACCCAAGAGGGAGAAATTTTGTGCCATTATCAAACAAATTTCTGTTTCTGGAATAGAAATTTCGTGTCGTTATCAAACGTTTTTTTTTGCTCAGAAACTTCTTCAGGAACAGAAATAAAAAAAAATCAATTTCTGATCAGAAATTAATTTCTAAAACAAAATGATTGTCATTGGCAACCTTAAATGGCCCAGCTTAAGATATCTAAAGTGACATAATGTTACGCGCAAAGTTTAGTATTCTTATATAGCTTTTTTATTTCTCCCGAACAGAAATTGAGAAGCTAGATCATTTAACTTTTCGCTTCTCGCCATACTCTTTTCTCCTCGTAGTATATAACGACGACGGCAATCATCAATCGATATATTCTCCCAGTACGGGCACTTGGTGTGATTTCCTGTAACCATTTACCTTCACTCCAAGTGACACAAACATGCCAGCAAAATAAGGCCAAATCCCACCATATAGAGCAAAGTGAATAAAAAAATTAAGCATTTTCTACATGCATCAACATTTAACCCCCACGTTCTTACCAAAAAAAAAAACATTTAACCCCCACGGAATACCTCGACTCTTCTACATGTTCATCAGCCAGTTCTATCCGAACAGGACAAGAAGGACCCCTTCTTCACCAGCTGTTAACTTCCAGTTTACAGATTGTCTGATCACAGTTAAACAGCTGACTGAAGCTCGAACTCCTGCTGGTGCCAGGCAGACTTTTCTACAAAATATGTAGTGTTGCTTTCACTCTTTCATCAACAGAGAAGGAAAAGAAAAAAATATATGTCTATGTATATATGTATACACGTACATATAGATGTACATATATAATCAATGTGCTCAGAGAAGACTTTAAGTTACTGACAGTTACAAGAAAGTTGCTGAGGCCCCAATATGCTGCATATAGCATAAGTCAATGATCAATCAGAATGAGGTCCAGGAGTAACTAATGCCGTTGCTTGCAGCTCTGTCCTGCTCATCCATTTTGTCGGGGTCTCTTCCCCATGTCTCCTCCCCGCCTTTCCTCTTTTTATCTTTTAGTAGGTAAGAAACTGGCCTCGGACCTCGTGTCTCTCTCTTAGTCTCCTGCACAAAATCATTAATGCATCATCCTCAGAGAGTGAGCTTAAACTGCTCTTACTAAACGTTAGTGATGCACTGTGCCTAAGAAGAATTAAAGTAATTTAATTCTTTTTACTTTGCTGTTTTAACTTCCGGATACCACTAATGAAGTAGATATGTTCCAGGGATAGGTGACAGCAGATTACAATAATATCCCTCTCTTAAGCAGACATTGTAGTATCAAAATGCCAACAAGCACTTTCAGCACATTCGTAGCACTAGCACAGAGATATGTTGTGCGCAACAAAACTGCAAGCATCATTGGCTGTGAGTTTTGGAAAAAGCAAGAAGTATGGTTCCTCCTGTTGGGTTTGGTGTGCCATGAAGTCAGGCGTTGGCACTCAAGCATTGTTTAAATGTCCACGATGACTGCCCTTGAGCTTTTCTTTAAACATAAATAAGCGATCCAAAGAAGGATAACAGGTAACCCGAAGAGCAAGAAGGCAAGGGAATATATAAGATCGTGATGGAAGTATTCCGTCAATAAGCCATTAGAAAGAGAAGTGGTGAGCTTTTTCAGCGATGAAATGTGAGAAGGACAAAAACTCTTAGGCAGACATGGTAGTACAACAGAACTTGAAGGACTGGCCATGAGGCTGAGAGTGACATCGTTTGCATTAGAAAATGTCGGTAGCACAAATTTTTGGCCATAACTTCTGCACTTAAGCTAAACAGCTGCATTTCTTAGCATCAAAAATTGACCAGTGCACAACTTAAAAAAACAAAACAAAAAAAAGTAAACTTGCCACTCTTAGACAAGTAAATTACATCAAATTCACCTTTTTATAACTGTGAAGAGAACTTCTCTGCAACATAGGGATTAGTTTTGATATTTTCCCTTTCCCATGATATAAACCATTATCATAATTCTAAATTATGTAAGCTGATAACTATATCCATAACAGAAGATGAAAACCAATACAGACAATGCCTGCAACCCCAATTTCCTCCTCTCTGCAAACATAATGCAAGACTTCATTATCTGAACCCAAGTCATGCAAAGGCAAAACCATGGAAGAATTGGAGATGGTCCATAAGATCCATAAAAAAGTTGACAAGTCGGCAACCACATTGCCAGGCTGCCCGTGCGTTAGGAGGTCATAATAAATGACTTTAAATACGGTCTAATGAAAAATATACCACTGCATTCTCGTGAAAATTCAAATGAACTTTATGTAGTAAGTTCAGAGGTTTTAGTCAAGAAACTGAGTAAACTTCGGTCCTATCAAGCACATGCCTTAGCCTCATTAATACGCGAACTCTATTTAGGGGGGAAAAGGTCTTGTCTTCGTATTTTCTGAAGTCATCATCCTCGTAATCAAAATTTCAATAAGAGTTCTCCAGTCATAACTCAGCTAGAACCAGCTACACAGACTGGGCTGAGAATACCACTAAAAGCGCAAATCAACAAATTGACCCATTTTAGTCCACAAGCTACACCAAGAAGTTTCACAGTTGAGTCGTTCAGACTTATCAGGGTTCCACAGTGCTTCCACTTTCCTCTCAATTGCACTGGCAGGACATAGCAACCTTAACTTTCAAAATCAAAGTCCACCTTCCCAGACTTGCCAAACCCGCTGTTACATAGACAAATTGTATTTGCATTATCAACAAAACTTGTGATGCTTTGGACACAAGATGATGTAAATCCAGAAGACCGTGTGCCAATCATCTATGTAAATCAATACAATCGAGTCATAGCAACATTTGGCAAATGTAAAAAGGAATAGGAGCAGTATATGCGCACTGCAGATATTTTGAAATGGTATCAGCAAAATCCATGGTAAAGATGTGCAATAACAATGGTGGCTGGGAAAAAAGGCTGCTGCGGAGGAACAGAGTTCTGTAGTCAATATATAATTGAACTGTTGTAACAAGTGAACTCACAACAATTGTTGAGCAGACCAAAAGAAAACCATTCCAAATCATAACAAGATTATATTAATATTGATTCATGGCGAGAATATTGCAAATTCTTATTTGAAGATTTCGAGATTAATCTCTAGGAATAGAATATACTTTCATGATCTGCAAGTGTATTTTGTATATTTTTAGCATTGCTTTTATCAATATTAGGTTTTCTGTAATATTGTATACCCCTGAATCTTTCATTGTAATACACATGAGTGATTGAATAAAATTCCTTCATGGGAATCATCTCCTTGTTATCTTCTCTTTGTTTTCCTCTCTGTCCCTTCTTTTGACTTCCTAGGTCCGTGAGTTATCAAGAGATTTTTTGTATCCTTGGAGTGGCCTACTAAGGTGGTGATTCGGCTAAGGGAGACCTAGATGATTAGTCTCTTCCTTCCTCTTCTCCATATCGGAAAACCCTTTATTTACCTATTCATTCAAGACATTCCCGGCACAATTGGGTATCGCATTCCATACTTCCCGGCGTCACTAATTCTTACTGATCATGGCAATCTGCCCTCCGAAACAAGCCACAGGAATTACCATAAGATGAATTCGGCGACTCTGGTGAAGGTCTACTCTTCATCATGCTCATGACCTCTGTATATCATTCTCGCATTACACACGCTGCTAGCCAGGGCAAAGGCTCGCTAGCTGCCGCCTGAGTTGCGACGAACATCCGGGCAACGTCAAGACCCCGGATCGACTCGGGCCGGTCTCAGCTGACCCTTTAATGTACGCAGCAACAAAGCATCACAAACCATCGGAAACTCACGAAACTGCACGAACCAAAATGACCCCCAATTCGGCACACCACAACTCAGACCAGGACTCCGTGGAACCCCACAGTCGAGACCCCCCAACCGATATCAACATTCGCTCGATTGCCATCGGTACCCAAAAAAAGATGCGGCAATATACGGAAAAGCAGGCAAGCCATTGCAATCACACAAGCGAACTACAGAGAGAACGAGAGGAAAATGGGAAAGGTTTCGCAGTTTTCTGTACCTTGTCCGAGGGATGCCCGGAAACGATGCGACGCCGCGACCTTCCTTTAGACAAGGACGCTCGAGGAAGCGCCGGAAGCATCGCCGACCGGCGACGTCTCGTGGGTTCACCGGAGGCGCAGAGGATGGAATCGCCATGGCCAAAGCTGGAAGCCGGAGCTGAAGCTCCGGTTGAGTCGCCACACTGAGAGTGACGATGCCGCATTGTTCATTTTTGGGATAATAGCACAAAGGTCCCTGAACACTTGATCAACGTGCAATGTCGTCCTTAAATTTTTTTTATTTTTGCACTATGGTCCCAAACTTTGGCACGATGTGCAATGACATCCATAAACTTTCAATTTATTCGATATAATCCCTGAATTATTAGTAAATGTTCAATATTGTCCGTAAATTTTTAAACATTTTCATATAATCTAAGGATTACATTGAACATTGAACCAAAGTTCAAGGACCACATCGAACAAATCAAAAGTTCAGATACGACATTGTACATTAGACTAAAGTGTAAGGATCATATTGAAACCGATTCCTAAAAGTGGAACCGGTGTCCGGGTGGTCCGATTCCCGATTCCAAGAGAGAACCAGACTTACTACATATACTTTTTTTTCTTCAAAAAAAATAATAAAATGTGAATTAATCCCTACGTGAACTTCATTAACATAAACTTATTGACAAAAATTAGTAAAATGTGAACTAAACTCTAAGGTAGCGCATGATAACCATTCTGGTTCTGTCCAGAACTAGTTTTCTGTTCCACAAACAGTTTTGGAACAGAAACCCGTTTGGTAACGCAATATCATTTTTCTATTTCCGGGACAACTTTTTGTTTCAGAACCGATTCTGAACCAAAAATCAGAACAAAAAAAAAGTAGGTTTTCTATTTCTAGACAAAAAATGAGAATCATTTATGAGAGAACTCTTTCTTCAAAACACATGTTCATCTAGAAGTCACAATCTTTGAGGTAGGAAAAAAAAGCAAAAAATCAAAAATTTCAAAACTTCACAGAATGACTTAGAATACATGTGGCCATCCACTTTGAGCGAAATTTAAATTTTTTTAGATGCCGAAAAAAATAAAAAAAACTTCAAAACTTCACAGAATTGCTTAGAATACATGTGGCCACCCACTTTGAGCGAAATTTAATTTTTTTAGGTGCCGAAAAAAAATAAAAATAAGCAAAAAAGCAAAAATTTCAAAACTTCACAGAATGGCTTAAAATACCTGTGGCCACCCACATTGAGCGAAATTTTATATTTTTTAGGTGCCGAAAAAAAGAGAGCAAAAAATTAAAAATTTCAAAACTTCACAAAATGGCTTAGAATACATGTGGCCATCCACTTTGAGTGAAATTTAATTTTCTTTATGTGCCGAAAAAAATTAAAAAATCAAAAATACCATTAGGGCACCTAAAAAAATTAAATTTCACTCAAAGTGGGTGGCTAGAGGCATTCTAAGTCATTCTGTGAAATTTTGAATTTTTTTATTTTTTATGTATTTATTTTTTTTTCGGCACCTAAAAAAATTTAAATTTCGCTCAAAGTGGGTGGCCACAGATATTCTAAGTCATTCTGTGAAATTTTGAAATTTTTTATTTTTTGCTTTTTTTTCACCTCAAAAAATTAAAATTTCATTTAAAGTGGGTGGCCACAAGTATTCTAAGTCATTCTGTGAAGTTTTGAAATTTTTGAGTTTTTGAATTTTTTTTGGGCACCTTAAAAAATTTAAATTTCACTCAAAGTGAGTGGCCACATGTATTCTAAACTATTCTGTGAAGTTTTGAAATTTTTGATTTTTTGATTTTTTTTTGGCACCTAAAAAAATTTAAATTTCACTAAAAGTGGGTGGCTACAGATATTTTAAGTCATTCTATGAAGTTTTGAAATTTTTTATTTTTTTATTTTTTTTGAAAAAATTCAACAAATTTTCTATTTTCCCGAAATCTGAATTATTTTTATTTTTTGGAAATTGTGATGAATTTTTCTAGAATTTTTCAATTTTTTTGGAGTTTTTGAATTTTTTTGAGATTTTTAGGAATTTTTTGGATTTTCTAATTATTTTTATTCCATTTCTAAAAAAATGGAATTTTGTTCCTGGAAATAGAATTTTGTGTTGTTTATCAAACGGGTTTTTGTTTTAGGAAATAGAAATTTTGTGCTGTTATCAAACGGGTTTCTGTTCCAGAAATAGAAATTTTTGGTCGTTATCAAACGGATTTCTTTTCTCAGAAACTCATCCTAAAATCAGAAATAGAAAAATCTATTTCTGTTTCAGAAACTCATTCTGGAACAGAATGGTTATCATGCGCACTCTAAGTGACCGGTTCTATTGGACCGAACTGGACCTGCAGTCCACAATAGTCCTCGCTATCCTCCTAGTTCGGTTCCCGATTCCACCTTGAAACCAAATCGGACCAGGAACAGATTACTCCCAAACTAAAGTTTAGAAATCATTTGTGTCATTTTCATTTTCTTTTTTCTTGAGTTTATTTTTTTATTATTATTTTTATGAGCATGTTATTATGGGGTTATGGGCTTCAGTGAGTGGGCCTTTGGGCCCGCTATTGGGCTCTGAAGATCAAATTTTTGTGTTGGATCGATCGACCACGGAGTTAATAAAAGGGTTAATACAAAAAAAAATCCAAAATCGGTACACATGTGACAATCTTACCCGAATTAATTTTTTGACCATAAAAAACTCCAAACTGTTACACTTATGATAAATTTACTCCGAACTACTTTTTTTACCATCAAAAACTCCATACTGGTACACTTGTGATAGTTTTACCCCGAACTAATTTTTTGACCACCAAAAACTCTAAACTGGTACACATGTGTCAATTTTACCTCAGACTAATTTTTTGATCACTAAAAATCCCAAACTAGTACATTTGTGAGAAATTTACCCTCAATTAGTATTCGTTAAATTGAATTAATATCACGAAAAATCACAATTGGTAAACTTGTGACAAACAGATGGGTAAAATCCCAAACTAGTACACCCGTCAACTACCACGTGTCATCAAACTTAGCAATTTGACAGTAAAATTTAACGGAAACTAACATAGGATAAATTTGTCACAGGTATACCAGTTTGAAATTTTTTGTGGTCAAAAAATTAGTTCGGGATAAATTTGTCACAGGTGTACTAGTTTGGGGTTTTCCGTGGTATTAACCCTTAATAAAATCAAAATAGAGAAAATTCAACGAAATCAAGATAAAGGATATAGTCTTATTTCGTGGTATTAACCCTTTTTTGTGGTATTAACCCCAGTGCATGATATTCGTATTTTAAATATATATTTATTCTCATTTTTCTTATTAACGTGAATAATTGTTGAATATGTATAATTCTTGGGATCGTTATCCGTTAAGCATAAATTACTAAGGAAAGACATTTTTAAATCGGACATATAAAATGCGGCATGAAATTTTAAACTTAAGATTGGCTACAATAGACATATCATAGAAAATTCAGAAAAGCAGAGTCTGAATATTGGTAGCTTCTTGATGAATTCAATTGTATTTTCATTTAGCGTATGTGGATTTCTTTATAGAATATCAGAATCTCTAAATGATATTGTAATTGAATCTCAATGGTTAAGTTAACACTCGAGACTGTCTCTCCTCATTCCTTGCTTAAACAATTTCTGACATGTAAGATTGAAAGCAAAACGTGTAAGAATAAGTCAATTTCAAATGTATGAAACAGAAATATGTAAATTTGAAGTTTTGGTGAATCAAATAAACTATTACCATTTCCTTCATTGTAAGTTAGATATATCTCTTTGACTTAAATAAACCATACCATTTAAACATAAAGTTGCACCATTCAAGAACATAGTTTTGCTTGAATTAAAAGTATTGTCATTGATAAATTGTTGATATTTATCTTTATTTATTCCTTTTGAAATTAAACTTAATAAGAGTTGAAGGTTTAGATATTATAAATCAATGAAGCAATACTTATTGGATGAATGTGAGAAGGAAAATTATAATAGAAAGATGAAGTTCATCGGAAGAAGATGAAGATGACAAGTGAAAAAGAAAGGAAAAAAAAAGAAATTCAAAAATAAAGCAAAAAGGCATAATTTTGTCTAAAATTGTCCACGTATGTCATGTAGCTGGCCGATGACAATTGAACACCACATCGGTAATTTTATGCCAAAATTAACTGAAAAGATTATATTAGAATTTCATAAAGGGTTTAGGCCTACATGGGCAAAATTAAAAATTTTATGACAGTTTGGTATCGTTACAATAGATTTAGGATTGATTGGGTAATTATCCCGAATGCGAGATGCGTTGCAAAATCATTCCAAAAGTCTCACCACTTGATTAGCATAGAGAGGAAAGTGTTTCACCATATGGCAAGCATAGAGGCAACGCGAATGTCATGTAGCAAGCACAGAAGTAGGCATCCTTTCAATTGTCGACATATCAACTTATTTTTTGTATTTTTACATGTTATTTTTTTTTTGGTGACTCAGGGAACCCCCGCACGGCCGACAGCCGGGAGGTAAACCCTGGAGGCGACACGTGCTAGCCACCACACACGTGCACCGATTAAGTCACCCTGCGGCACCCGGTATTTTTACATGTTATTAGTATCTCCATTTTTTAATTTTCTGAATTTTCCAAAAAGTTTTGAAACCCCTTTTCCATCTCAGCTTCACTCCTATCTAGCCCTAATAATGTGCATTATCTCTTCTTATAAAAAAAAAAGAGGGGGGGGGGGGGGGGGACATGTAGAGTTAATTGATAATCCAGTTAAGTGTTGATAAATTAAAGAATCCACATTTAATAAGATTAAGCTTGTTTGATTACTATAACTAACATTGATTTAAAATATTCAATTAATTTTTTGTGGCCGGACGATTCAATTAAAGTTAACAGAACACTTAATGAGGTAAGTAAGGAAGGGACTAATTAATTCATCAAGTAAAAGAAAAAAGCAATTGATGCCAATTAAAATCTTGTCAATTGTATTAGTAAAACCTACCAATAATGATCCCAAGTTCATGTATAGTAAGAAACTAATAATCCTCAGTCATAATTCTTAAAATGCATCAAACAATTTTTTTTTTGTTTTATTGTTGGCTCTTAAAATTCAGTACTTAAATTTTCAATTTTATCAAACAAGCCCTTAGCGGATAGGCCAAGAAGTCACAGAAGTGAGTGTCGAGTGCGAAATACTTAATTGTGATTTTGTGGGTGAGGATAATACCGGAGACCTTACACATCAAAAAATTGCTCAATCACTCAATCTATTGCAAACTCCACAAAAGATTTCCAGCTTAAAAACCGAGACCGTCACGCACAATCTTCTCGAGCCGAAATTGATAAAACAAAAATGGCGATTTTTTATAAAAAGAAAACAATGCGAATCCGTTCAATTCTTTGCCCAACAAGTCCAACGTGCGAGGGAAAAAAATTGCTTAGTGTGTGGATTTTGAGAAATTATTTAGTGCTAATCTAATAAAAAAGTTTAGGGTTAATACCACGAAAAATCCAAAACTGGTACATCTGTGACAAATTTATCACAAACGAATTTTTTTACCACGAAAAACCCCAAATTGGTACACCTATGATAAATTTACTCCAAACTAATTTTTTGACCACCAACAATCCTAATCCGGTATATTTGTGACAAATATACTCTATATTAAATTGTATTAATAACATGAAAAATCACAAATTAGTACACTCGTAACAAACGGAAGGTAACTACAAACTGGTACATCCGTCAACTATCACGTATAATTAAACTTAGTAATTTGATTGTAAAATTAATGAAAACTAACTTTGGGTAAAATTATCACAGATTTATCAGTTTGGGGTTTTTGGTGGTCAAAAAATTAATTTATAATAAATTTATCATGTATGTACCAGTTTGGGATTTTTCGTGTCAAAAGTTTATCATCCTTTTTCTACCTAAAATACAAAAAGTTTTTATCTTTTTTCTTTCTTATTCTCTATTTTGGTGGGCAACCTTTTTCTGCCATTTTTTTTTTGCTGAAGCCAAAAAGGCAACTCTTTAATGTGTAAGTTGTGAGAATCAAATAGTCAGAGAAAAGAAAAAAATTGAAATGAAAAGTATAAATTCCTCTTGGTCGGACCTCACTTTTCATTATTCAAACATCCAATTTTCTCAAATCACGAATATAATCAAAAAATTTATTAAAAAAAAAAACATCATTAAAAAGATTACCAAGAAAAAAAAAACATGTAAAGATTTTCTCCCGAGCACTTGAGACATGTCCTTTTGCTCGTGTAAAAATTTCCTCATTTCCTCACGCTGATCGCTGTTCTGTCCCTTTGCTCCCCTCTTGCTCTCTCTCTCTCTCTCTCTCTCTCTCTCTCGCTCGCGCTCGCTGCAAATCTCAGCCGGATCGCCAAAGCAGGTAACTTTTTCGCGAGCTGTCAATAACCCATTTCTCCGCTTCTCCTGTCGATGATGTTCTCCTGCTTCCCGGGTTCGATTTGATCCCATTGCGCCGTAATTTGGCCCGGATCGGGATCTTTGCCGCTTGATGCGCGGTCAAAGTTGCTCCTTTCGCCCGTTTGGTTCGTGGGTTTTGGCGGGTTTCGCGGCTGATTCGCGGGTTTAGGGTTCGTTCGCCTGGGTTGAGCTAGGATCTGTGCTCCAATCCCTAGAGCTGTGCGCCGGTTTTGATTGCTTGAATGCGGTACGCCTAAGTTTAGCTTCAATTCCAGGTTCCGGTCGCGCCGGCGTGTGTTCGGCGATCGATGAATCCGTTGTTAGGCGACTCGGGTTGGTAGGGAAAAAGGGTTTGAGCTTTGGCTGTTTTTTTCTTCTTTTTTTCCTCGAAGAGTCGGGATTATATACTCAACGAATGCAGGAGAGGGAAACCTGCTACATGCTCAAAGAGAGGATGTACGAATCATCAAGAATAATAGAGCACCTCTACAACTCCCTAATGCGCCAGTTAGAACAAAGGATTCCGTGTCCTTCTATGCAAATTTCCATCCTGTTCTCTGCACATCGTGCTAATCTTTCTCTAACTGCCCTTTTAATAATCAGAACAATAGCGTCGGTATTAACGGAGAAAGAAGAGTTATGCAAACGCTTGTTCCTAGTAAACCATACACAGTAGATATAAGCAGACCACGACATCATAAGCAGCAACGGAGGCATGTATTTTGCTCTGAATGTATTCATGGCCCATGTAGCTTGAGCAGTCTACTTTTGCTTTTTTTTTTTATCTTGTTTGCTATTCTATGATTATTATCTTGGCTTTGTAAGGTGTATTTGATGGAGGTTTGTGTTTCATCCCCGACAAATTGTCTTTTAGATCGAAAGTTCTTCTGACTTTGCACGATCTTTACAAACTCTGGGTTATCCTTGTGCACAACCAATGATGTAGAGCAGCATATGTGTATGCTCATTACATCTAATTGCCCGGTTGTTCATAATCATGACTGCCCACACGTATAGTTTTCAAGTATAGGCTGGGAAGTGCTGTTTTCAGTTTGCTAGTCATCCTTGCACCCATATTTTCGGGATAAAGCTAGAAATTGGTTGAACAAGTTGATATAGCCAGTTTTTTTTTTTTTTCACATGCGCTGGTCTAATTTTGTTTAGTTTCTCCTGTGTACCCTTTCCATATTGATGCTTTGATCATTCACTGATCCTTCATATTAGTGATCCTAATATGGAATGACATTTTGCTTAAGCTTGTTTAGGCAGTGTTTGGCTTGGCTTTAAGCCGGACCAAAAGGCCCTCTTGGCTTTCCTCCTAAAACGAATGGATAAAACTGAGATGAACTTAAATGATAATAGTTATAGGCCAACTCAATTCACTCTTATGCTTATATGGGGTATTTGAGGTCCATCACAATAGTGATAGTTTGGTTCAACTTTCCTAATGGTTGGATACTATGTTAGATGTTTTAATGTCTCGTTGGTTTCTTATCAATCATAATCATGTACTTCGGGAATTTCACGGTTGTGAACTTATTGGTTCCATTTCTTTAGATGGGAATGGAGGTGGGGGATCGTGCATTGTTTGAGAATCCTGAAATTGTCTCCCTGTTCTAGGTTACAATTGAATTTCAAGTTATCTTAGACCTGTTTGTTTTAAAAACCATCGCCCCTTGATGCAACTGAAAATTGAAGCTCTGCTTTGTGCGAGTGGTTAAAACTGAGGAGAAATTTGATCCGACCATGGTCACATGGCAAAGGCGAGAAACACTTCGGCTCAAATATAAACAAAAAAAAAAGGCCAAGATCCTAATTCAAACGGGGTAGTGGTACCTTAGGCTTAGTCTAATGATGCCAAAAGTACGAGCTATTCATCTATGGCTGCATGTCCTGCAACTCAGCTGAAACTACAACAGAATGAAGGTTTAATTGAGAGGAGCACTATGATCACTGTGGGATAGTTATCCATAGAAAACAAAAAGATCACGAACAATTTGATAATCGATAACTGAGTATTGCCAGAGAGGAGGGTGTCAATGCAGGAACCAAGTCCTGGTGTTGTAGTCGGCTCAAATAAGTTTGCATTGTGACACATGCTGAATAACTGCGGCAGCCGACGTTAAATGAGAAAAGTTGACATGGATAGTTGATAAAAAATTCCTATATGTCAAAACAATGCATTCCACTTCTAACGTTTCATTTTACGTGTAGATGGCAATGCAGGAACCTACTCCTACTGCTCCGCCTAGTGCCGAGGTAGTTGGCAATGCTTTTGTGGAGCAATATTATCATATCCTTCACCAGTCCCCAGAAATGGTGCATAGATTTTACCAGGATTCAAGTTTGCTGAGCCGACCAGATGTTAATGGTGTGATGACTAAAGTCACAACGATGCAAGTATGCCCTCAAATGACTGAAACTTTTGTTTTTTTCCTGCTGTTTTTTTAACCAAAATCAACTGTTCATAAACAGTCACTGCTGAGCATCCTGTTTTTGTTAATTAGATTTTTCTAAGTCATTGATACAGAAAAGTTTAGTCATGTGAAATGCTGTGTGAAACCATTGCACCTAAGTTCCTGTTGTTGTCTGCTAGTTGCTTGTCATTTTTGCCCAGGGTTGTAAATGAGTAACATTTGCAGGCTGTATGAACCTGTTGCCTCTAAGTTCCTGGTGTTATTCGAAAGTTGCACATTAATTTCTCTCAGGTTGTAAATAAGTGACATTTTTAAATTGCTTATATAAGTATGCTCTATTAGGGTTGATCTCTTTTTGTTTAAAAATTTTGGCTCCCACTGTGTGAGAAACTAATCTCTGTTAGTTAGATTTGGACTGTGAATCTACCTTGCTTTTTTCTGCCAATGCATAGTCTATATTGTGCGTTGTTATGTTAGCTTGTTTGGATTGTGGATTATTTTGAATGCTGATATATTCTCTTTTCTGCATAAGTTATAGGCGCGGAGTTAATGTACATGCAATGTTACTAGTCCTGCAGCATGACCAAGCTCTTATCAAATTTGAAGAAGGTGTAAACATTTTACAAGTGCAAGCCTAAAAGTACTAAGTTATTTAAAATGAAAAGGTTCTAGGTGACAGTGGAAGAGGCTGTAGACCCAAGTAGTTTTAGTGTTTCTTGAATGCAATAGGTTCATTTTTTTCCTTGACTGTCAGTTTGGACCCAAAATTGTGGATGTTGTAGTTACTCAAATCCTTCATCACTCACGAACCACCAAAATATGGGTATGTGGCTGTTATTTGTCAATTTTCTTTTGGGATAAAGGAACCAGGAGTTCCTGAGCTTTTGCAAAATGTCCATTCTTGTCATTACCTTGAACATTAACTTTAGTAACTACCGGCATTTTATAAAGGAGTTAACATGTAGATTAATAGAATGCAATGTTCTTTATGGAGCAGGCTATCAATGAGAAGATTATGTCCCTGAATTACGAAGACTATACTGTGGAGATAGAAACTGCTGATGCGCAAGAGTCTCATGAGAAAGGGGTGATTGTTCTTGTTACTGGATGTCTAACTGGAAAGGATAATGCCAGAAGGAAGTTTACTCAGACATTCTTTCTAGCTCCTCAAGACAAAGGCTACTTTGTTCTGAATGATGTTTTTAGGTATGTTGGGGAAAGTGAATCATTGGTCAATGGTACGAATGATAATGCGCCAGCAGTTGCATTGATCCCTGAACTTGGTGGGTTTCTTTCTTCTTTGGATTATTTATTTCTTGGTAGAAGTTCTCCTCATATTAAATATTATACTTCCTTTGTGGTGTCCAGGGGCCATAAATGCTCCAGATCAACTTGCTGCTGAGCCTGCAGCTGCCATCGAGGAGGAAGATCTTGAGAATGTTGCTGAAGTGTGTGATCCCTCAGATAATGAAGGCTCTGTGCTTGAAGAAGAGACCATTGAATCCCCAGTTCATAAAGCTGCGGAATCCATTCCTGCAGCTGAGGAGGATGCTCCAAAGACATATGCCTCCATCGTGAGTTGGTTCTGAAGTTCTTGTATTCACAATGTTCAGAAGAATGTCCTTTTTAAAGTTTAACACTGAATGCTGTATCTATGTAGCTTAAAGCAATGCAAGGTAATGCAGCATCTCGCTCTGTTCCTGTTCCTTCCAATAGAGCGGCTGGTGGAGCTACAACCAATGTGCAGCAGTCAACTGTTTCTGTACCTGCAAAACCCAGTGCTCCCATCACATCGGCACCGGTTAGTGATGATGCTCCTGAAAGCAGCAACCATAATGAAGAAGGTATCTGTTGCTTTTGCTCAGTGCATTACCTTGGAAGCTCTTGTTAAAAGAGAACCTAGTCCAGAAAACTTTCCCTTCTCCAGTTGTATTATTAACCAATAGGCATTCTTTGCATTCACAGTTGAAGGCCACTCGATATATATACGGAACTTGCCTTACAATGCAACAGTTGAGCTACTTGAGGAGGAGTTCAGAAAATTTGGGCCCATAAAACCTAATGGCATCCAAGTCCGTAGTGCTAAGGTATGCTTCATATAACTGTTTTATGCAGTGCTTTTGAGTATTCTATTGTTCTTACACGTCTCCTGTCTTGTCCTTACTGTTTTAACAGCAAGGTTCATGCTTTGGTTTTGTTGAGTTCGAAGCATTGAGTTCCATGCAAAGTGCACTTCAGGTACTTGATTTGGCTTCTGCATGGTTTTTCTCCGTTTTATGGTTTAGTGGTATGTTGCTGTTAGAGACCTGTTTTATTAAATTGGAGTTGCATGCTTCTGTCTTAGCTGATTTCATTGAGGAAAAAAGAATAGTGTGACATAGAGAGATTCTTGGCTTACAGAGATCTCCATGCACTAAGATTAAAAGGGAATTGATATGGAAGGGCTGTTCATTTGAGCCATTGTAAGATTGCAATTGGACCTAAACTAACGAATTCTTCTGGCATATAAAAACTTTGAGTGATAAGAGACATCTATTGTGCCAATCTGATAGAAACAAGTTGGGGCTAATGATAATTTCATGGATTAGAATTATTTGGTTTGCCTTCATCACAAACTTTATCAATTTTAGTGTGCAGCATCCAAATTGCTAGCATTTTCTTGCAATCAAAACTTTAACTCCCTGGTTAAGATTTTTTTGGTTCCACCTTTGTTTCTGAGCTTGTGAGAAACGATGGCTGCAAGAATTGTACATTATAGGTCAGTGATGTTACCCTTTTGCCATTGGCCATCAACCATTATGGGCGATTGACTCACAATGGCTCATCATATTAGCCTTTTCTAGAGGGACTGCGAAAAACTCGTTTTGTGTAGACCTTTTTTGACAGGTCATTTGCTTTCTTGAGCTGCCTCTACTAGCTTGGGTGATTGCGTAATGCCTCTTTTTCCCCCCCTTTTTAAGGTGGGTGTTTCTTTTGTCAATGTATAAGAAGCTCCTTTCTTCCCCTCAAAGACGAGCAATAAAATAGATGAGAAGTCAAAGCGAGGAGCACTAGAGGTTCCTTCATTTGTCTTTTTTGCAGGCTGAAAGCTTCTGAAGCAACGGCCTGTGAAAATATGGTTTTTTGTTCAATAAATAGAGAAAAAAGTTATGGTGCTTGTTCTTGCCTGTTAGACCCTGTATTTGGTTTGTGTACTATAAAACTGATCACTTATGGTCGAAATAACTTCAGGCATCTCCAATTACGATAGGGGACTATCAAGCAGTTGTTGAAGAGAAAAGAACTACTACTCGAGGCAAGTTGTCTTTGTTCACAGGTTATAATATTTGACTCCTTCGCGTGATATAGACAAGTTAAACAACCCTGATAAGCCACTTCTTTTGCAGTTACTGGAAATAGCGGTGGCAGTAGAGGCAGGTACTCTAGTAGAGGTGGATTTCGCAGTGACAGCTTTAGGGGGCGTGGAAATTACAGTGGTGGTCGGGGCTATGGTAGGAACGAGTTCAGAGCTCAGGGTGACTATTCAGGTCGCCCGAGAGGCTCGGCAGGACGTGGTGGTGAAACTTATCAACGGGTTAATCCGAATGGATTAGGCAGAGGTGGGCGTCAAGGTGGCGGAAATCGCGGCTCCGTGCCTCCTTCAACGTGACCGGGATGCACATTTGAGAGACCAATTTTTTGGCGGTACAAAGATGAGGAGTTCAAAGGAAGTGGAAGCGATTTTTTTCCATTTCCTTCTTACCCTTTCGTAATTGTGACTGCTTATGATAAGAGCTAATTTTGGGCTTGGGGAATTTCATAGGAGCTTATGTGACAGGAGAGAGGTGATTTTGTGATTATATATTCTTCTGCAACATGTCACTAATTTTTTTTCTTTTTCCCCTCCAAGTACTGCTATTGCTTTTATCTCGTTACTTGGTCACGGGGAAAGGGAATTCGGTCACATGTTTGCAATGCTAGTTGCCACCATGGCCTTAAACTCTTGCTCATGGTTTGCTATGTATAAGATGCGAGACGATTTGCATGCTCATCTGCATCGTTATCCTTGTCGAGACAACACACAAACTTCTAATGATCATATCCGACTTGCCTTTTACCTTTTTTTGCTTGCTTCGCACGTAGCAACTCCACAAAGTGACCCGACGACAGAGATGTCGTTTTGAACATCGATTAGCAAAAGGGAAGGCAGTTGCTCTTGATTAAACTCGCAGGTTTGCGGCCCTAGTTTCACTTACAAATCCAGGTGACCTAAATCATCGTGATTTTTGCAAGTTGGACACCAAATTCGACGCGGCAAAGGCCGCAGACCCGCCTACCACACAAAGCAAAACTACAAGAACCTGAGCAGCTACTTCCCAGGGGTAGTCCTCAGGGACCAGGTAAACACAAGCAGGACCAAGCAGCAGCAAGCCGAGGCTGAGCGTGAATAGAGCGCCCGGGGTGGCCGGGTCGGTGGCCGCCGAGAGGACTCCAAGCTCTTCGGCCTTCGAGAGGAGACCCAACTTCTCAATCGACGACAAGGAGAGGCCGAACTTCTCAGCGGCCGAGAGCAGGCCCGCCTTCTCCGCTTTGGTGAGCAGCCTCAGTTGCTCCACTCTTGTGAGCAGCTTAATTGTTCGCGCATTGCCGTTTGAAGAGATGGTCTTCGGTCCTGGTTCTCCAAGAGGGAACACCACTGTTCCATTCTGCATATTCGAAAGTGTCCCAGGTCAGTTAAACAGCACGGCCGAAAAGCCGCTAGGCATCCCTCCCGCTTCGCATTCGCGTCATCTGGTAACTCACTTCTCTGTCTCTAATAAATTGTTTCGACTTGTACGAAGAAAGAATGAGCTACTTTGATTGCTTCAAGCTAAACTTTTTGCATAGTTCGACATGGAATTCATGTTGTCTAGGAACTTGCCGTAATATTAACCACAACAACAAATCCAAACACCAACTTGTCCCTGTTTAGACATTGATGTATATCTTGAAGTACCATACCAAAAAAAAAAAAAAAAACAGTATTGAAAATCTTGGAAACATGGGGTCGGTACCGACCTTTCGGGAGCCGATGGTCTTGGCAGCGGAGGGCAGGGGCTTCTGAGTGGCCATGGATCGAACAAGCAGCGGCGACGGTGCGGAAGAAGATGACGAAGGATCGGTTCTCGCCCGGACTCCATTACCGGAGAAAAGCGGAATTCTGGAGCTACAGATTGTTGCTGCGTCCATCAGAGTCTTCCTTCTCAGTATGTAAAATTCAGAATCCTTTTGGTGAGGTTTTGCCTGAGGAACAACTGAGGACCTCAGACTCGATGAATGGTGATGATGGACACTCCAGTCCACACCCACAAGGGGAACAAAGATGGGGGGGGATCAGCTTGCAATCTTACGTGGCTTGCACCAATTGGGTGCTCCCATTGCGTGCAAGAAGCCAACTGGGCCAAAGGCCCAGCCCAAACGTAGGGAGAAATTCTTAAATCCACCCGGTCTGCGTGAGCCGAGTCCATCTAAGCCATTAAATAGTGCGGGATTCACATGAGACCCTCATGATTTTATGGTTGAGATCGAGCGGGTTCACATGTACCGGGTGAGCTTTAGGTTGTGCCTTATGTATGAGTTAAATATATTATCATGCATTAATCTTGTAACGAGGCTCGAAATGATCCGCTTGCGCTAGTTGTTCATGTCCTCACTGGCCTCGGGCAAGGCTCAAGCTCGTCGGTCTCGGGTGAGCTCAACCTTACTGGGATCTAGCGAGCTTGAGCCTCGCCCGTGGCTGGCTGTCATCGAGTTTGGCAACCAGTGGAGGAAGAAAGAAAAAGAAAAGGAAAAAGAAAGAAAAGAAGAAAAATTAAATAATTCGATTTATTTTAAAAAAATATTTGTAGAAATTATTCACGTCAGCGTCAATCGTTCCAGTAAGACGGCCAATTCCATGTCAGTAATTTACATGCCTAGCGTCCCAGGCACCAGTGTCCTAGAAAAGTGATTTCCGATTTTTTAAAGAGCAAATCTTTTTCCTGAATTTAAGTTTTGGTAGGAAAACATTTTTCTATTAACTAGGAAAACATTTTCTGTTGACTAAAATATCAAAATATCAAAATATCTCTAACATAATAAATTATTCTAAAGAAGTTCCAAATTATCACTAACAATTTATGTGGCTTGCAAGTCATGTTGATAATATATAGGATGTTAGGAAAATGGAATGAAAAGTATTAATTCTCATAATTGATGAGAGCTCAAGATGGAGTTCAAGATTTACATCGTGATTTAGTTTTTTCAATAATTGAGTTGAATTGAGTTTAATCTCGAGCATATACACTCTATTGAGTTGGGCTCGATTTCATCAAGCTCACAATTCGATATCAAAATTTCATAAGCCTCTACAACATGTACAAGTCCAATGAAAGCATGATTCCACAATCTATATTACGAGAAAGTTTAAAAAAGGAATACCATGATTAAAACTATGCAATCAAGTCAAACAGTAATACATTTCAACTAATGTCTACCTTCTTTAATCTCTTCCTCAATGTATGCTGTATACGAGAAAATAGATCGAAGCTGTTCTAAATTCCTCGAAAAATACAGCTGAAAGTTAAATATATAGTTTGACTGCATTTTTTGAGATTGAAGTACAAGAAATGATTTATATTTAAAAAGAAACAATATCATATAAAAGAATATGATTAATACCATGAAAAACCTTAGATTCAAGTACAATTAATGAACGAAATTGTGTGCGCGGATTATGCACATCACATGAGTTCGATTTCCCACGTCACTAGATGTAAACAATTTCACATTAAAGCCTTCCACCGGGTCTTTGACTCATATCCTCTTACCTAGTCCACGAGATTAGCAAAATATTTTATGGATATGACGCCAAATCCGCCTAAAATATAAGATTCTAAGAGAGAGAAACAATATGATATTAACATAAATGACCATGGCAAGTGTTCAAACCAAGACTCAATGCACATATCGAAAGCTAAATGAGCAGCAGAAACTGACTCTGCACTCTGGCTTAAGCCAGGAGTTCAAATCTCTCTCAACTTTTGGGAGGCAAAGCCCGAACTTAATAGCAAAGACTAGTTAGAGAAACAAATGCCTTCTAGGCAAAACAACAGTACAGACAAGGTGGCCTTTGTTCTTCTGGGTATGCTTTGTTAGACGCCATTGGCATTCATTACTTACAGGGAGGGGGTTCTCCGGTTCCGCTGCCAAATAATCCGGCCAGCTTGCCAGTCTTTACCCGCAATTGACGTCACATTCTGTCGAAAACGACGCTCTTCACAGCCTCCTCCTCTGCTTTACTTCCTGTTTGAGGCGGCTGTCAATCTTACGGGAAAAAGCAGGGGAGGATGCAGTGCAGGAAACTGTAGAAGCCCAGGTATTGGAACGACACTGTCCCCAGCCTTCTCCTCGGCTCTAATTCCCGTTCCTGCATGAAGTGGCTTTCTTGTTCCTGTTCCTGCTTGAAGTGTCTTTCCTCTTCCTTTTCCTGCTCTTGCTCCTGTTCCTGTTCCTGTTTGAAGTGGCTTTTGATCAAGCTGTAAAATCTTCATCTAGTATTTTAGGTTCTTTTGAAACACACATCTTACTTGGCTGAACCCATCCACATGCAAATTCAAGGTGCGTTTGTTTCACTGAAAAATCAAAATTTGGAAAACATTTTCTGAATAATCGCTTGTATCGGGTTACAAAAAAGAATGAAAGTAAAATATTTTCATTACCCGCGAAAATAATTAGGCATAAAATTATTGTCGATGATGAAAACATTTTCCGTTGGCTAATTTTCCTAAGAGATATATCAATCATTTTAAATCTTGAGTTTTCCGTGAAACAAACGCACCTTCAACTGACCCACCCATGGGTAGATCAGTTGGTTAGGGCGTACTTGGGATTGTGTGGTTAGGCGCACTGGTCCCAAGTTCGATTCCCCAGCTGAGCACTTGCGATTTAAGTAGGGGGCCATGGCGGTGGGTTGCTGTGCTAGTCTCTCCCGAGAAATAGTCGAGGTGCGCGCAAGCTGGCCCGGACACCTCGGTTACCAAAAAAAAAAAAAAAACGCACCTTCAACTGCATCAAGGACATCAGTCACTTTATTAGTGGGTAAGTGGATCATGTAAATTGTGTTCTTGAAACACCTCCTTCAGCAAAATTGTTTTGAGTTGTGCAATGAGTCTATGCTTCTTTTAATGCCATATCTTCTCCTGTAGTAATTGCAATTTACCAAACTCATCCCCATAATAAACAATACTAAGTAAGAAATGGACTATAAGGTATAGTAGCTTGCTTGAAAAATACGCTAAATTAAACAACTTGCTTCAGATAAAACGAAAAGAACAATTTAGGAAGAGCCTCCGAGCTACTACATATATGTTTCTTCTACGCATCGAAGTTTTTCCAACCATTTGTGAGAAAACATAACCATGTCCGTAGACTTGCTGCAAATATGGAACTTTCTCGTATACAAAAAAAGGACAGAAAAATGGAACAAAGAAAAGAAAATTGAGAAAACACGAGCGAAAAAATAAACAAAACAGTGTCGAGTGGGTTTTAAAATAAGCGAGACGAAATTTGGTTCATGTTTTGTTTGATTGTTTTTCGATTTTCTGCAATTATTACAAATTTATCTAAAAGTTGAATGCATGTTTGTGGATGGTTGCGTCAAGAAACCCGAAAAGAAAAACAGAGAGAATGGTTTGGACTTGCCTTCTCTGGTCAAGTTCTATTGATCACACCCTTGAAACCTGCTCTATTGGCACTTATTGATTCAATTAGTAAGTTTTCATGTACATCATACACGATTGGGTAAAAGTATTTTAGGAGATATAAACAAGTGAGATCAATTTGAATACTATCTTTATCTGTCGATGGCATCTTCATACTACGCGATAGAGCGAAGGTTTGGTGAGACTCACCCTATGGTGCTCGTACGACTCGAGGGAGCCTCTCGGGCGACCTGAATATTCCCCCCGAGTTCTGAACTCGTTCCTACCATAGCCCCGACCGCCACCGTCATTTCCACGCCCCCTAAAGCTGTCGCCGCGAACTCCACCTCTACTAGAGGACCTGCCTCTGCTGCCGGCGCTATTGCCGGTAACTGCAAAAAGAAGTGGCTTATCAGTGTTGGTTAACTTTTCTATATCGCGCGGAGGAGCCAGATATAATGACCTGTGAACTAAGACAACTTGCCTCGGGTGGTCGTTCTTTTCTCTTCAACAACTGCTCGATGGTCCCCAATGGTGATTGGAGATGCCTGGAGTTATATTGACCATAAGTAATCACTTCTCACAATACATAAACCAATTCCAGGCTTTAACTGGCAAGAGTAATAACCATGACTTTTCCTCTATTTATTCAACAAAAAGACCATTTTTTCATAGGCCATTGCTTCAGTCGCTTTCAGCCTGCAAAAAAACAAATGAGGACACCTCTAGTGCTCCTCACTTCGGTTTCTCATCTATATTCTTGCTCGTCTTTGAGGGGAAGAAAGGACCTTCTTATACATTGACAAAAGAAACACCCACCTTCAAAAGTGGGGGAAAAAGAGGCATTACCCTGTGACCCGAGCTAGTAGAGCAAGCTCAAGAAAGGTAATGAACCTTCGAACAGAAGGTTTACACAAAACGAGTCTTTCGCAGTCCCTCTAGAAAGGGCTTACTATGATGAGCCATTGTGAATCAATCAATCACTGACCAATAATGTACAGTTCTTGCAGCCATCGTTTCTCACAAGCTCAGAAACAGAGGTGGAACCAAAAGAATCTCAACCAAGGAGTTGGACTCTTGATTTGCAGATACATGCCAGCAATTTGGATGCTGCACACTTACAATTGACATAGTTCGTATTGAAGGCAAACCAAATAATTCTGATCCATGAAATTATCGTGAGCCCCAACTCGTTCAGATGTTGGTGTTGCTATCAGATTGGCACAATAGATGTCTCTTATCACTTTAAAGTTTTCTGTATGTCAGAAGTATTCGTTAGTTTAGGTCCAATTGCAATCTTATGATGGCTCGAGTACAGCCCTTCCATATCAATTCCCTTTTAATCTTAGTGCATGGAGATCTCTGTAAGCCAAGAATGTCTCTATGTCACATTAATCTTTTTCTCAATGAAATCAGTTAAAACATAAGCAAACTCCAATTTAATAAAACAGGTCTAACAGGCGATATATCACACTAAGCCATAAAACTGAGAAAAACAGCAAAAGATCAAACTAACAGAAGGCCATATCAAGTACCTGAAGTGCACTTTGCATGGAACTCAATGCTTCGAACTCAACAAAACCAAAGCATGAACCTTGCTGTTAAAACAGTAGGGACAAGACAGGAGACGTGTAAGAACAATAGAATACTCAAAAGCACTGCATAAAACAATTATATAAAGCATACCTTTGCACTACGGACTTGGATGCCGTTAGGTTTTATGGGCACAAATTTTCTGAACTCTTCCTCAAGTAGGTCAATTGTTGCATCGTAAGGCAAGTTCCGTATATATATTGAGTGTCCTTCAACTGTGAATGCAAAGAACGCCTATTCGTTAATAATACAACTGGAGAAGGTAAAGTATACTGGACTAGGTTCTCTTTTAACAAGGGCTTCTAAGGTAATACACCTAGCAAAGGCAACAGATACCTTCTTCATTATGGTTGCTGCTTTCAGGATCATTATCACTAACTGGAGCCGATGTGACGGGAGCACTGGGTTTTGCAGGTACAGAAACAGTTGATTGCTGCACATTGCTTGCAGCTCCACCAGCTGCTCTACGAGAAAGAACACGAGCAGAGCGAGATGCTGCATTACCTTGCATTGCTTTAACCTACATAGATACAGCATTCAGTGTCAAACTTTAAAAAGGACATTCTTCTGAACAGTGTGAACGCAAGAACTTCAGAACCAACTCACGATGGTGGCACATGTCTTTGGAGCATCCTCCTCAGCTGCAGGAGTGGATTCCGCAGCTTTATGAACTGGAGATTCAACGGTCTCTTCTTCAAGCACAGAGCCTTCATTATCTGAGGGATCACAGACTTCAGCAACATTATCAAGATCTTCCTCGTCGATGGCAACTGCAGGCTCAGCAGCAAGTTGATCTGGAGCATTTATGGCCCCTGGACACCACAAAGGACGTAGGATGTTTAAGATGAGAAGAACTTCTACCGAGAAATAAATTATACACAGAAGAAAGAAACCCACCAACTTCAGGGGTCAAAGCAACTGCTGGAGCATTTTCATTTGTACCATTGACCAATGATTCACTTTTCCCAACATACCTAAAAGCATCATTCAGAACAAAGTAGCCTTTATATTGAGGAGCTAGAAAGAACGTCTGAGTAAACTTCCTTCTGGCATTATCCTTTCCATTTAGACATCCAGTAACAAGAACAATCACCCCTTTCTCATGAGACTCTTGTGCATCAGCAGTTTCTATCTCCACTGTATGGTCTTCGTAATTCAGGGACAAAATCTTCTCATTGATAGCCTGCTCAATGAAGAACAGTGCATTCTATTAATCTACATGTTAACTCCTTTATAAAATGCTGGTAGTTACTAAAGTTAATGTTCAAGGTAACGACAAGAATGAACATTTTGCAAAAGCTCAGGAACTCCTGAATCCTTTATCCCAAAGAAAATTAACAAATAACATCCACATACCCATATTTGGTGGTTCATGAGTGATGAAGGATTTGAGTAACTACAACATCCACAATTTTGGGTCCAAACTGACAGTCAAGGAAAAAAATGAACCTATTGCATTCAAGAAACACTAAAACTACTTGGGTCTACAGCCTCTTCCACTGGCACCTAGAACCTTTTCATTTTATATAACTTAGTACTTTTAGGCTTGCACTTGTAAAATGTTTACACCTTCTTCAAATTTGATAAGAGCTTGGTCATGCTACAGGACTAGTAACATTGCATGTACATTAACTCTGCGCCTATAACTTATGCAGAAAAGAGAATATATCAGCATTCAAAATAATCCACAATCCAAACAAGCTAACATAACAATGCTCAATGTAGACTATGCATTGGCAGAAAAAAGCAAGGTAGATTCACAGTCCAAATCTAACTAACAGAGATTAGTTTCTCACACAGTGGGAGCCAAAATTTTTAAACAAAAAGAGATCAACCCTAATAGAGAATACTTATATAAGCAATTTAAAAATGTCACTTATTTACAACCTGAGAGAAATTAATGTACAACTTTCGAATAACACCAGGAACTTAGAGGCAATAGGTTCATACAGCCTGCAGATGTTACTCATTTACAACCCTGGGCAAAAATGACAAGCAACTAGCAGATAACACCAGGAACTTAGGTGCAATGGTTTCACACAGCATTTCACATGACTAAACTTTTCTGTATCAATGACTTAGAAAAATCTAATTAACAAAAACAGGATGCTCAGCAGTGACTGTTTATGAACAGTTGATTTTGGTTAAAAAAACAGCAGGAAAAAAACAAAAGTTTCAGTCATTTGAGGGCATACTTGCATCGTTGTGACTTTAGTCATCACACCATTAACATCTGGTCGGCTCAGCAAACTTGAATCCTGGTAAAATCTATGCACCATTTCTGGGGACTGGTGAAGGATATGATAATATTGCTCCACAAAAGCATTGCCGACTACCTCGGCACTAGGCGGAGCAGCAGGAGTTGGTTTCCGCTTTGCCATCTACACATAAAATGAAACGTTAGAAGTGGAATACATCGGTTTGACATATAGGAATTGTTTATCAGCTATCCATGTCAACTTTTCACATTTAATGTTGGCTGCCGCAGTTATTCAGTATGTGTCACAATGCAAACTGATTTGAGCCGACTACAACACGAGGACTTGGTTCCTGCATTGACACCCTCCTCTCTGGCAATACTCCATTATTCATTATCAAACTGTTCGTGGTCTTCTTGTTTCTCATGGATAACTATCCCATAGTGATCATGGTGTTCCTCTCAATTAAACCTTCATTCTGTTCTAAGTTCCAGCTAAGTTTCAGGAATAAGCAGCTGTAGATCTATAGCTCGTACTTTTGGCATTGTTAGTAAGCCTAAGGTGCCCGTACCTCGTTTGAATTAAGATCTTGGCCTTTTTTTTGTTTATAGTTGAGACGAAGAAAAAAAAAAAGTGTTCCTCTCCTTTGTCATTTGACCATGGTTGGATGAAATCTCTCCTCGGTTTTGACCACTCACACAAAGCAGAGCTTCACTTTTCAGTTGCATCGAGGGGCGATGGTTTTAAAAACAAACAGGTCTAAAAATAGCTTGAAATTCACTTACAACCTAGAAGAAGAACACAATTTCAGGTTCTCAAACAACACACGATTCCCCGCCTCCATTCCAATAGAAAGAAATGGAAGGATAAGTTTTTTTTTTTTGGTAACCCAGGGAACCCCCGCACGGCCGACAGCCGGGGAGTAAACCTTGGGGGCGACACGTGCTAGCCACCACACGCGTGCCACCGGTGAAGTCACCCTGCGGCGCCCGGGATTCGAACACTCAACCTTTTGCGAGAGGAAGAGTGTGCGCTCCAGCAGCGCCACCCAGGCGGGTGGTGAAATGGAATGATAAGTTCACAACTGTTAAATTCCCGAACTACATGATATGATAAGAAACCAACAAGGAAAGTTGAACCAAACTATCACTATCGTGATGGACCTCAAATACCCCATATAAGCATAAGAGGGCATTGGGTTGGGCTATAACTATTATCATTTAAGCTCAATTATATTCATTCGTTTTTGGTCCAGCTTAAAACCAAGCCGAACACCGCCTAAACAAAGCTTAAACAAAACGTCATTCCATATTAGGATCACTGACATGAAGGGATCAGTGAATGACTAAAGCATCAATATGGAAAGGGTACTCAGGAGAAACTAGCCAAAATTAGACCAGCACATGTGAAAAAAAACCTGGCCATATCAACTTGTTCAGACAATTTCTCGCTTTATCCTAAAAATGTGGGTGTAAGGATGAAGAGCAACTGAAAACAGCGCTTCCAATCCTATACTTGAGAAATAGATGCATCGGCCGTCACAATTATGAACAACCAGCCAATTAGATGTAATGAGCGTACACTTGGGCTGCGCTCTACATCATTATTTATGCACGAGGATAACCCAGAGTTTGTTAAGTTCGTGCAAAATCAGAAGAATTTTCAATCTAAAAGACAATTTGCTGGGGATGAAACACAAGCCTCCATCAAATACACCTTATAAAGCCAAGATAATAATCATAGAATAACAAACCAAAGAATTACAGCAAAGTAGACTGCTAAAGCTACGTTGGCCACGAATACATTCAGAGGAAAATTCTTGCCTCCGTTGCTGTTTATGATGTCGCGGTCTGCTTATAGCTACTATGTGTGGTTTACTAGGAACAAGTGTTTGCATAACTCTTCTTTTTCTGATAATACCGATACTATTGTACTGATGATTAAAAGGGCAGTTAGAGCAAGATTAGCACATTGCGCAGAGTACAGGATGGAAATTTGTATAGAAAGACGACCCCCTTTGTTCTGAGGCATTAGGTAGTTGCAGAGGTGCTCTGTTATTCCTAATGATTTGTACATCCTCTTTGAGCATGTCGCAGGTTTTGCTCTCCTGCATTTGTTGTGAATATAATTCTTACTTATCGAGAAAAGAAAAAAAAGGCAAAAGTTCAAACTTTTTCCTACTAACACGAGTCGCGTACTTGGATTCATCAATCACCAAATATGTAACAAAAGGGACCTTTGGTTCAAAAAAAAAAAATTGAAGAAGAGTTTAGGCCCAAAAATCTCAGCTCACTTGATTTTGCCTGAGCCGATCTAATTGAAATAAAATGAGCTCCCCTTTGGGCAGCTAAAGAGTCGCGAAAAAACAGAAAATAAGAAAGAGAGAAAAAACAGAAAATAAGAAAGAGAGAGAAAGAGAGTCAATAGAAAAGAAGGAAGAGAAGAAGAGAAAGGGGGGAAAATTGTCAAATCAGTCCTAAACCTATTGTACGGCGGCCAATTCAGTCCTAAACTTTTTAAGTTTGCCAATTCAGTCCTAAACCTTTTAAATTATTGCCAATTGAGTCATTCCGGCCAATTTTGGCTGGCCGGCGCTGACGTGGCCGCTGACCGGCGCCGGCCGTCCGGTCAATGCTGACGTGGCAATTTTTAATTATTTTTTTTCAATTTTTTAATATTTTTTTTTCTTTTTTTTTTTTTCTGCTTTCTCTCCTCTGGCCGGTCCGGCGACCGGCGGCCGGCCAGAGGGGAGGGCCGGCGAGGCCTCTGGCGAAGCTCGCCTCGCCGCCCCCTGGCTGGGCGAGGCGAGGTCGGCCTCGCCTCGCCGTCACCTGGGTCGCGACGACGAGGTCGAGCCTCGCCCAGATCTGGCAGGGCTCGACCTCGCCGTCGCGACCCAGGCGACGGCGAGGCTCGACCTCGCCTCGCCTTGCCCAGCCAGGGGCCGGCGGGGCAAGCTTCGCCAGAGGCCTCGCCGGCCCTCCCCTTTGGCCGGCCGCCGGTCGCCGGACCGGCCAGAGAAGAGAAAGCAGAAAAAAAAAAAAGAAAAAGAAAAAAAAAGATTAAAAAATTGAAAAAAAATAATTAAAAATTGCCACGTCAGCGTTGACCGGACGGCCGGCGCCGGCCGGCGGCCACGTCAGTTCCGGCCGGCCAAAATTGACCGGAATGACTCAATTGGCAAGAATTTAAAAGGTTTAGAACTGAATTGACAAACTTAAAAGGTTTAGGACTGAATTAGCCGCCATACAATAAGTTTAGGACAGATTTGACAATTTTCCCAGAGAAAGGGGAAAGAAGAATGGGTTCGTTGCATGCGTGCTCTGGAGGCCACGACGAGTGATATTAATGCTATTTCGTAGTGCCCGGTAAGAATTAGTATTCTTTGTTCATCTAATCGAATGAATTTGTGGAGTTGAGCCCTAAATTCAGATTCATGTGAATATGAGTTTCCATGTCTGATCTAGGAATTGTTTGGCTATGAAATGTGAAATTATATGGAGATGATAGATTATGGCATTGTACAGCTGTAGGATTTTGCAGAAGTTGATTCTGAGTTACGATTTAGTCAGAATGAGTTTTTAAAATTTCGCAATGTTACCACCCAGTTCTAAATATCTGTTTTTGGCTATAGCTTTCGATCATTTTCGACTATCTTTTGAGTAAGTGAAGTTTATGATCTTTTAGTACTTTAAAGGGGCTTTCTTTTGACAGTAAGTACACTTGAATTGGAATTTGATAGAGATATATAGAAAGTTTATAACGCGAGTAGTTGTTCTTCACTTTAGTGGTTATTCGTCGTGGTTGGCTGTTCTTAAGGTCTTTTGGCGACCGCGGTTAACGATTTGCTTCTAAAATAACATCACCTAGCCAAGTCTTAATTAAGGTGGTTATTTACATGAGTTTTGAAATCGTTTATCATTTAATTGATAGGATTTCCAGTTAATTACCTAAAGATAATTTTCGTGGCTTGGTTTAGACTTTCCCATATGAGTGGTGTTTATCTGATCTTCGAATATGTAAACTCATGTCATGAAAATGACAGAATTATTATGAGATCTTAAAGATATGGCACATCATGATATTTACAAAAAAAGGAAGAGATGTTTAGAGCACATTTGTTGTATAAATTCAGATGGAGCATTTAATAGCCTTTAATTATTTAGAAATGGCATGCTAAAGCATTTCTGGAAAATGGTTTATGAGTTGATTGATTGGAAATATTTTGAAAAATATTTTATGAAAGGAATAGCAAAAGGGTATATGCATTAATTTGTGAAGCTGGTTTACGAAAGATGATCAGTTTTCTTTTAGATTCTAAAACCGATGTATGACATGAATTTTGGATTGGTTGTGTGCATTATTGGAAGATGATGGTTTGATGCTCATTATCGCTATGAAGACAATGAGGGGTTTGTGTACATGCATACTATTCAAGATATCCTTCTGGGTTGAGCCATCGAATGATAATAGATGGAGACCTTGCCAAGGGCGAAAATTTGGTCGCCTTGTCACCATACATTATGTCATGATCATGGTTGGATATTGAACATGAGATTGATGAATGGAATTGACCATTGATGTGTGTTTTGATATTGTTTTTTTTAAATGAGTATTTCTGATTCTTATAAAGCTTTTTTGAAAAGATATAATTCATTTTTTGTATTGTACGTATATTATGCACTGAATTCGAGAATAATGAGTTTTTGGTATTTCTTTGTAAATATGCATAGTGAGTGCTTGATCTGTTTAGAATAGATATACACTACTCACTAAGGGTGAGCGGTTCTAAGGTTGGTCCAGGTTTTACTTAGAACCTATTCTGTCAGAAGTGATTCTCTAGTTTTTGAAACTTGAAACTTATCGTGTATACCGTAGAACCTATCCTTCAATCGGTTCCAAGATCTACCTAGGAACCGGCCAATTTCTTCTTCTTCTTTTTTTGGTTTCATTTTTCCTGTTTTTTTGTTTCATTTTTAGTTAAGCAAAATGAAAATGAACGCAACAACAAAAATCCTCATTTATCAATAGCAATAATTCATAAAAGATAAACATGTAAAACAAAAGTTCAAAACACGTAACTACAGTTCATTAGTTTCTAGTATAGTTCTTACCCGAGACTAGGGATCGAAACGCATAGTACTAGTTCCACTTTTTTAGGAACCGGTAACCGTGAAGAAGTGGATCATATCTTAGTGTTACGATTTGAAGTACATAGTCATTATTTTAATATGGTGATATTTTGAATCTTGTCTTGGGTGTTAGCAAAAATTAATTATTTTGTGGTGCTAGAAAGGACTAATTTTGAAATAATGCTATCAATGATCTCTGCTCGAGGTGTTAGTAAGAATATTAAAAAAAATTGATTGTTTTTATTCAATAAATAAGAGTTGATTTACCCAAATTTTCAAGTGGGTGATGCAACATTCTGAGGCATGTACGAAATTGAAATGAAGGGAATGTCATAAAATTGATGGCTAGTGAAAATTTAGGCTGTGATGACTATAGAAGATGCAATATATCTTACTTTGATAGATATCTTGCGGATTAGATTTTGAGTGTCGCCCAGTGAAAACGAACTTTATGGTATTGGAGAAATTTTTTTAAAAATATCATGTGAATGAATGGTCTACAGAGATATTAGAGTCCATCTAAGAATTGATACTTTTGTAGAATTTGAAAGAGAAAAGAAAAAGATTACTTGGATGCTAGACTGTTGTAGTAATGTGAATTTTTAGGCATGATAGTTTCTAAGCAATACATCTTGATGGATTTGTTTAAGGATAGTCATGTCGAATTGGAAGACTAAGCAATAGATTCAAAATCAGAAAATGATTAAAAGAATGAATGGAAAAAGAAATTTCATGATTTTGGTGATGCAAAATGATAAAGTTGTGGCCTATGCCTCTAGATAGTTGAAATTGCATGAGGCACCAATGTTAAGTCTTTACGGATCTCAAGAACTTGAAGTACATTTTTACTCATCAAGAATTGAACATGAGGTAGAGGAGATGGTTGGAGTTTCTGAAAGATTATGATTTGTTTATCAATTACCCTCCAAGCAAGGCAAATGTAATAGTAGAGGCCTTAAATCTAAGTCCTTAGAAAATATGGCAACTTTACTCACTACTTTAAAGTTTATTCTTGAGGAAATGAGAAATTTGGACCTAGAGGTATTGATGCATCAGCTTGGTGCTCGATTAGCTAATCTTTGAATACAACCAACCTTGATTGACTAAATCACAATTCTAAATAAAATGAAGATTCTCAATTGAAGAAAATTAGAGAAGGTGAAGAAAATTAGAGAAGGTATAGAATCTGGGGAACAAGCAGATTTCGTCATTCACGTGGACGAGTCTTTAAGGTTTCATGGTCTTTGATGTGTCTTTTATGAGTCAGAGACGAAAAAGGAAATATTATAGGAACCTCATAGAACTAGATTCATAAGTCATCTAGGGCAATAAAATGTATATGAATTTGAAAGAAAACTTCTTGTGGGTCAATATTAAAAATGATTATGAAATTTCTCGATCAATTTTTTATTTGCAGAAAATGGAAATTGAGCATTAACAACAGATGAACACTTGCACCCACTTGAAATACCTAAATGGAAGTGGAAGCATATTGCCATAGACTTTATCGTCGATCTACCAAACAAATCAAGTGGTAAGAATGCTATATAGACGATTGTTGATCGATCAACTAAGTCTACATACTTTTTGTTATATCAATTCAGCATTTCACTAGAAGATATGGTGAAACGATATGTCAATAAATATTGAAGTTTCATGGAGTCCCAATGAGTATCGTTTCTGACTAAGATCCTAGATTCGTATCTAATTTTTGGAGGAGGTTACAAGAGCTATTGGGTACTAAACTCAATTTCGGTACAATTTTCCACCAATAGACAATTGATGATCGAAGAGGGAGGCCACTTGGTAGCTCGAGGAGGAGATAAGACCTAAATACCCTCATTTATTTGAAAGTTGAGGTATGTTCAAATTTCAAGGACTAAATTTTATGTAAGGAAGGTAGAATGCAACAAAAGGAGCCTTTGGTAAAAAAAAAATAAAAATAAAAGAAAGAGTTTAGGCCCAAAAATATCAGCTTACTTGATGTTACCTCAGCTCATCTAATTGAAATAAAATGAGCTTATCTTTGGGCAGCTAAAGAAGTCGTGAGCAAACAGAATAAGAAAGAAAAAGACAGAAAGATACTCGAGAGAAAAGAAGGAAGAGAAGATAGAAAAATATGGAAAGAAGAAGGAACTTCTTGCATGTGTGCTTGGGAGGCCACGAGTCCGATTGATGCCGTTTCATGGCACTGGTTAAGAATTCGTACTCTTTGTTCATCAAATCGGAGGAATTTTCAGAGTTGAGCCTTAAATTCGAATTCATGTTAATTTTGAGTTTCTAGGTCCAATCTTTGAGTTGTTTGGCTACAAAATTATGTAGAAATGATATATTAGGATATTGTAGAGTCGTGGGATTTTACAAAAGTCGATTCTGAGTTTCAATTTGGTCAGAATAAATATTTAAAATTTCATGCGCGTTGATACCCAGTTATTGAATTTCTATTTTTGGCGATGGTTTTTGATAGTTTTTTGCCATTTTTCGAGTCAGTGAAGTTTGGGATCTTTTATTACTTCAAAAGAGCTTTCTTTTGACAGTAAGCACGCTTGAATTTGGTTTTGGTAGAGAAATATAGCGCAAGAAAGTTTGTTGCGCAAGTGGTTGTTCTTGCTGGTAGTGGTTATTTGTCATGATTGGCCATTCTTGAGGTCTTTTATCGATCCATAGTGTATGATTTGACTACAAAATAGCGAAGTCTAGTCAAGTCTTAATTAAGGCGGTTATTTATTTGAGTGTTGGTATCGTTTCTCATTTAATTGATAGGATTTCGAGTTCATCGACTTGAGATAACTTTCATAGTTCGGTTTAAACTTTCCCAGGAGAGCGATGCTTATCTCTTCCTCAAATTTGTAAACTTGTGTCATGAAAATGACAGAAATATTATGAGTAGCATGGCATGATAATTATAAAAAGGGAAAAGGATGTTTAAAGCATATTTGTTGCATAAATTCGAATTTGGCATTTACTACCCTTTTGAATATTTAGAAATGGCATGGTAAAACATTTCTGGAAAATAGTTTATGAGTTGATTAACTGAAAATGTTTTGAGAAATGCTTTATGAAAGGAATAGCAAAGCAAAATGCTATATGTACTGATCTGTGAAGCTAGTTTATGAAAGGTATTCTGTCGTGGAAGGTTAAATGATTTGGTTTGAGAAAATAATTTTTGATTTAGATTTTGAATTAGTTTTCTGGATTGTTGGAGGATGACGGTTTCATACTCATTATCTCTGCGAACCCGTGAGGAGTTTGTGGGTATGCATAAAAATATCCATCTGGGCCGAGCCACTAGCTGACAATCGGTGGAAACTTTACCAATGGGGAATTTAGTCGCCTTGTCACCAAGCATTAAGTCATGATCATGATTGGCTATTGAGCATGAAATTGATCGATAGAATTAATCATTGATATGTTATATGAGATTGATTAATGGAATGAACCTTTGATATGTGATTCGATGTTATTGATTAATATGAGTAGTTCTGATACATATAAAGTTTTGTTGAAAAGATGAATAGGAGTGCTCCATATGCTTAGAAGAGATAGATACTACTCACTAATGGGTGGTTGCTTACACCATTCATCTTACATCTTTTATAGGTTCATGAGCTAGTGGTAAGTAAGACGAGAGCGCTATTAATGGAAACTTTTGGTAGATGGATTTTGGCCATGAATTGAGACAGTTGTATATATATGTGAGATTATATTTTTAAGGTTTAGCTAGATATGTTAAGATATATATATATATATATATATATATATATATATATTGTCTTTTGTGGATTTCAAAACTCTGATTCTGTAACTATTTCTCTAAGAGATTTTATGTTGGTTTGTGTTTAAAGCTTCACCTCCAAAAAAAAGGATGGTTGTATGTTTCTTCATACTTATAGAAGTCGGGGTACGACAAAATATAGTCACCACAAACTGAACCCACAATTTGAGCAATAAAAATTGGCGCACAACTCTAGAGATTGGGACACAAATCCCAACTTTAGTTGGCGAAAAAACCTTAAACCGCAATTCAGTCGTAAACCCGCCAAAACCCTTTAAAGATACAGAGGAAGGAACAACTGTGACCTCGCATCAAGCGACAAAGATTCCGATCCGGCAAAATTATGACATAATGAGATAAAATCGAACCCGAGAAGCAAGAAAACCTCAGCAACGAGAAACAGAAAATGGGAATCAACAGCTTGCGAAGAAGTACCTGTTTTTGTGATCCGACTGAGATTTGGAGCAAGAGGGAGACAGAGACGGTTGCTTTGGTTTGAAGAGAGCAGAGAAGCAAAGAGACAGGACAGCGATCAGCGTAAGGAATGAAAAAATTTTCAAGCGAAGGACAGAGCAAGTGCTAGGAGGAATCATTGTACGTCTTCTTTTTTTCTTTGTATCTTTTTAATGATGTTTTACAATTTTTTTATCAAATTGAGAATTTAACAGAACGGGGGTTGAAAAGTGAGGTTAGACTGAGAGGAATGTACGTGAAGTTTGCTTTTTTTATCTTTTGATTTTCTTTTCTCACAACTTACAGAGTAAGTTAGTTGCCTTTGCCTACTTTAAAAATGGCAAAGAAAGTTGCCCAACAAAAACAAAAGGTTAGGTAAGAAAAGCAAAAGAGAGTAAACTTTATGTTTTTTAAACAGAAAAAAGATAAACTTCTCGACAGGTAAACTCCCTCGGAGAAGGTAAAGAAACTGCCAAACCTTTCACTTTTCTTTGGGTCTCTCTATAGTTTGCTTGTACTGTTGTAATTATGGTGGGTTAATGGATCAACGGAAGTGAGCAAAACTAAATACGTCGCTCTAGTTCATATATCTTATTAATTCATGTATTTATTTAATTCATCATTATTTAATTCATGTATCTTTTCAGCTCACGTATTTTTTCAGTATAAGAATTCTCAAACTGTATAAATAGATTTAAACACTTCTTCATTCGGAGAAGGAGAAATACCTCTCATCTCTTCTCTTCAATTTTCTCTAAGCCCGCCGGTTTCAAGAAGTATTCAACAGAGTCCTGTTTGCATAGTGTTAATTCAAACGGGTTCGAGGTGTTATATCTTGGGAGGCATAATTCGTGAAACTGCTTAGCACTATTGGCAGAAACTAATCGCCTTAAAGAGATTCAGTTAGTTGTACCTTACCTTCTATTCATTTTGTTATGGCTTTCTGAAATTTATTAAATACCTGATTACAACAAACAGTATTATGTATTTTTCGCCAACACGTACGTTTGTTATTGTTTCCAACATTTACTATTGGAATGACTACCTGTTTCTCGGTGTCGAGAAGCAACATGGTATGTTTTCGGACACCAATGCAATCGGACGATGTTGATATCGATTCTGTGTCCTTTGTTTCATCAAAAGGATTGGGTTCTCAACTCTTGAGCTCAACTGAGTCCTTGCCTTAGTCGTTGTTCTCCGGATTGTGGGTCATTTCGCAAGCTTCCATTGGTTTGCGAAGCTTTGTTTTGTATGTAAAAGAAAATCAACAAGAAAGGATTTGATGGTGATATACATAACAGAAGTGAAAATATATAAACAAGTCAATGTGTTAAAAAGTCGTCTATTACAAATTTATTCTGTACTTTACTTGACAATTCATCTATAAATTACTCGACGATCTTGAAAAGGATTAGGTTTCTTGAACATTTCTCTTTTTTACGAAATGAACTTTTATGGAAGTAATATTTAACAATAGAAAAATAAACATAGTGCCTTTGATATACATGGAAAATCTACAAGAAACAAAAACTAAATATGTGAAATTCTTAATTATGGTAAATAGATCCTACGTAGATATGAAAAAACCAAAAATAAATAAATAAAGTAAATAAATTCGGGACCATAATTTTGCAAGAAAGTAGATTTCTTGAAAATTTCTCTTTTCGGCGAAAACGAACTTTTATGGAAGTAATATCTAACAATAGAAAAAAAAATTATAGTGCCTTTAATATACATGGAAAATCTACAAGAAAGAAAAACTAAACATGTGAAATTCTTAATTATGGTAAGTAGATCCTACACAGATTTGGAAAAACCAAAAATAAATAAATAAAGTAAATAAATTTGGGACCATAATTTTGCAAGAAAGTAGATTTCTTGAAAATTTCTCTTTTCAACGAAAACGAACTTCTATGGAAGTAATATCTAACAATAGAAAAAAAAAATCATAGTGCCTTTAATATACATGGGAAATCTACAAGAAACAAAAAATAAACATGTGAAATTCTTAATTACGGTAAGTAGATAGATATAGAAAAACAAAAAAAAATTTAGACCATAACTATAAATTGCAATTGAATAATTAAGGACAATTTTGTCCTTTCGGTGAAAACTGAGAGGATTTAGTCCATATATTGGGTGGAAATAGCGCCACCCTAAATATAATATTGCGATAATAATACAAATTATCTTTGAACTTTGATTCAATGTGCAATATGATCCATGAACTTTTAATTTATTCAATATGGTCCTTGAACTTTACCTCAATATGCAATGTGATCCCTTAACTTTTAATGTGCCCAATATAGTCCGTGAATTTTATTCATGAACTATACGAAAATGTTCAATGTTGCCAAGTTCAGTGAAAATGTATTTCAAAGATTAAATTAAACATGTATCAAAGGTGCATGGACCAAATTGAATAAATTAAAAGTTCATGGGTCACATTGCACATTGAGATAAAGTTCAAGGATCATATTCAAATTAAAAGTTCGAGAACCACATCAAACATTGAGCCAAAATTGAGAGACCATTTATGTTACTTTCCCTTTAATGTTCTTCATTTGTGAAAATTATTAAATAAAGTAATTGCTCTGAATGTATATATGCAAAATCGAGTTAATTCTCTGACCAAAAATATGTCTGCATATATATGTATGTATTTTATTCATATATAAATACATAAAAATGATAATAAAAAAGAAGAAGAAGAAGAAGAGGAGGCCCTCTGCATATCAAAACCCTAAGAAAACCATCCGAGTCTCACCGCCTGTCGGCTTGTCCTGTACCATTCTTGAAGCGCATCAATGGCGGACTCCGTCGTATCCCTCGACAAGCTCAAGGCCTTCTGGCATTCCCAGGTTCACGATGACGCCAACTGGGCCTCCAACATCTCTCTCTCTCTCTCTCTCTCTCTCTCTCTCTCTCTCTCTCTCTCGCGTTCCTGCTCTCTTTTACCGTTCACGTTTCGCAACTCTGCAATGTCTAGCTTCTGATTCTTGTTCACCTTTTCGATTGGTTTTACACTGGAAAGTTGCGGTGTTCCCTGGAAATGGATGATGCGAAAGGTGGTCATGGTGGTTAACTAATGGGGGGACTTGAATTTGCTATCTGTCGCTCGTTCGTTTGCCGGGCTCGAGAATCGTTTGAGTTTTGTAGTCTGAGAACAAGAATGATGGGCGGTCGTCCTTTTCGGTTCTTAGTTTGTAGGTGCGAGTTGAGACAGACGGGTGAATGCATTTCTCAAAGAGGGTTGATTCTGGTTTCACATTTATCTAAGAATTCAGGGGGGTCTGTGCGATCGAACTACGCTTAGGGACCGTTCGTGTTGCTGCATTACTGTGACTTTTCTAAGTGAGCTTTTTGCTGTCGTGATTAAGCTGTGGGGACTGACAAGCTAGGTAGTTGAGTTGGGAGGTTATTCTGAATGGGCTCCTTTGATTGAAGTCCCTCAGGGTTTATTGCTATTGCTTGGTATCCTGTCATTCTCTTCTTAATGCGACTTGCTTCTGTAGCTTGCTAGCGCAATCGCGAGTCCCTATAGCATGTTTGTCTTTGAGAATGATCGATCATGCTCATTGCAGAGTGGATCAGCACAATTGTGGTTGTGGATTCGGAATCTGGGGTCTTGACGGCCTATGTCCACAGGAATTTCTTTAGTCATAGTATCTACTTTACTCGTATTCTCCCATTTTCCTGTGTTTTTTTGGGTTTTTATTCTTATTTCCACCTCTTCTTGGACCAAAATGGGATGAATAGTTACATGAAAATGAAGTAGTATGTCGACTTATGAGAAATTGCTTCTGTTTGCTTTTAGTAGTCAAATAGTTGACCAAAATGAGATCAGCTTCATATTTTTGGACTACTTCATTCAGGAATTTTCTGTCCGCTGCTACCTGCTATCGTCCCTTTGTAGGGGCTTGTGGCCGGGGACGATGGAACTTTTCTCTTGGTTATGTGCTTAAAACTTCTTTCATGTTATATTGGGTCAATATTCATCATGCTAACTCCCGCTGAAGTCGTTTTCTGTAATCTTGAATGTGTGTCAGAGCTGCATATTTGCCTGAACTAGTGATTGTTCTGGTCTGTTGTAAGTTGCTCAGCAGCACACTGAACTGTTGTACATGTTGTTCTGGTCAGTTATATTGGCATTCGTGTTGAGCAGCTTAACAAGCATTTATGAATAGCATATTAAGTAGAATGTTGTTCCTGAGGAACTTGGTTGGGCGGACTGAGAGAATGTCACAATATTTCTGCAAGTTGGTTATGAACAGTGAATGAATTCCTATTTTTACTAGGTTCACACCACTTATGATTTTCTGTCAAGTGACGTATGGTTTCTTTCTGCAGAACTTGCTGCGCGCAGTGGGGTTGTTTGCAGGCTCAATCATTCTTATGCGGCAATGTGGTGATCTCATGGCAGTATGAGGTTGGATGAATGCTGGTCATCAACTTGGGGAGCGTAAGAGCTCATTCATTTCTTGTTTCGAATTGTCTTTAAACGTAGTTGCAACTGGCATATGACTATATGCCCTATGTAGTGGATCAAATTATGCTTGTTCAGATAGATCTACACATCCGCATTTGCTGACTTGGTTATGGATTGGCCTGTACTTTGATCTTGCAACTTTTGCTGCTGTGCGGGCCGAAACGGGGTTTCGAATTTTCATATGGTGGAAGTGTCAAATGTTTGCTAGGTAGTTTGTGGATTATCTGTGTGAATGTCTTCATTGGTCCTTCCAATTTGGTTGATGTGAAAAATTGCTTATCTGCTAGTAATTTATTGCATCTGCATCTGTCAACTAGTTACATGTGTTTGCGTATGTAACATTGTAAACTCTGCCAGTAACACTTCAATAGTGTGGGTCACGTTATCTAAAGCTTTCTGTAATTCTTGCCATACACATTGTTCATGGCATGGAAAGTTAACTTATAGGCATAGGCTCTACTGAGAAACATATAAGATCAAATGCTGACATTTGAAAGTCAGGCCCAATCTGAATGGACCTCTCTAGTGTTTCAGAAACTGTGCGAGCATCTATTCCCTGCATTGGTTCACATATTGAGTGGAAGTGGACAGAAAGTCGAAATTAAAGTCATGTAATATAGGGGGTACAAGATGAACAGCATTAAATCTAGAAGTTCATTTTTTGGGCCAATCGCTTAGAATACTTTCTTCGCAAAAGCAACTCCCACATCAATCCGAGCATCTGAAAATTTAAGACTCCGTTTGTTTTGTGAACGATAAATATAGTTTTTAGTCAATCATTTTTATAAGCGATGGAATTGATTATTTTTAAGGATATGTTTCCCTTTCCAAGAAACAAATGGAGTCTAATCACCGTTGCCACATCGAATTTTTGCACAAACATAGGAGTTCTCATATTGACCCAAAAAAAGTCTTCTAAAGATTGGTTTAGCTCGTGTCTTAAAGCCGGAGCAGCATGCACGCATCAAAAGTTTGTTTCGGTAATTTAAAAGCGTCAGGTAATTGTTTCTCGTACGTGACAAGTGTACGTGGAGACGATAGACAATTCTTTTGATCAAGGGACTTGGGTAAACAAAATATCATAAAATTTCTCGTCTAATGTTTGATCAAACAATTTGAAAATTAAACCTTTTCTAATTGAAAATGCTTAGCAAGTGTCTGAGCTGACAGAGATGCCGTTGGGACACCCCCCCCCCCCCCCCCCCCTTTCTTTCACTGCAAAACCATTGAAGGCTTCCACTTTTCTGTTCCACCGCGATGTCACTCACTTTGTCTGGTGCTGAGATATAACGTTAACGCTGCGGAAGGTCAAAGCCTCATGCAAAACATTGTTATGAAGTCGCTGCTGCAACTTCTACAATTGTCAATGAGCCACCAAAGAGACAACCTGCACCTCTCCGAGCATTGGTAACTGATTGCTGTCCCCTTTTGCTGTTCTGGTCCCTCATGTTTCTCTCGTTTTGCATCTGGAGCCCCAACTTCATCATCGTCTTGACAGCAGCACCCTAAAAAGTAAAACCTCCTGGTCATCTTACCATCTTCTCTCTCGTTTTATTTGGTAAGCCAGGTATGTGGAGATGGGGAAAAGATGACTAAGAAATCAATGTAGTAGCGTCATTGAGGTGAGGATAATAATGCCATGTGTATCAGATTGCGGTCTATAATTGTGAGCCGCTTGTTTTGAATATTCGTCCAGCTTCCGATGTTGCCCCGAGAACCCCATTTTTCCATATTGGGTCTTCATTTTCGTTACGTTGTCCATACGGTAATCCGTCGATCATCTTTCTCTCTTCTTTTGGCAAAATGCGGTGCAGTGCACGCGTCTCTACGGACTCAGCGAGTCGACGCACCACCGACACCTGAGATGCGGTGGGGTTCCGAGGGTTTTCGATGATTCGAAAGGGAAAGTTGGTCGAAATTCGAGGAAAGCAATTGAATGCAGCTTGCCAAACCACATAACCAATACATGAGATGTAATCCAAACGCCTAATAGATAACGAGGAAACAGAGCCTAAAACTCATCCACCGACGCAACTCCGAACTCCAATGCCCGCCACGTGTCGTCCAGGAAGGTCTGTGTCGTCGCCTCAAAAGGAAACACACTCACACACTCACTACAGCATCCTTATAAGCTCTCATTTGCCAGTTTCTCAGCACTTGCTGCACTTGCTTTTGTATGAAAATCGCTCTGTGGTCGCCTCCCATTCTCTCTTCAAACGCTGGTTTCGGGTTTCTCCAGTGAGATCTCGCTGGATAAGTCCATTTCGAGCCCGCTTCTCCGGCAGTAGTTGTCGTAGACAATCCACCTTCGTCTCACCTTTTGGTACGTAAGATCTTGCGATTGTTTACGTGGTTTTCTGTTTCTGTCATGCACCGTGGTTCGTGATAATTCTAAAGCTCAAAAGGATCACGAGATCTGAACCTATGAAATCTTGTTTGACAATGAAGAATCTTTCTTTGCAAAATTCAAGATCTGACGATTCCAAGATCCTTTTTCTTTTACAGTGCAAAGTCATGGAGGCGAAAGATCAACATGGGAATTGTTCTTATGACGATCAAGTCAACAGCACCACCTCAGTGTTGAGCGATGGGAGCCCACAAAATCCCATGCAGGGGATTGCGCAAGAAACCCCCAAGGAAATTCAATTTTCCGAAATCGCCCCTCCGGCCGAAGAGCCGCTCGACCTGAGCCTTGGACTCTCTCTTGGCGATCTCCACAAAGAGATCGAGGAAAGCCCTCACCCTAATCCACTCTCATTGACTGCAACAAAAGCACCCGCTGTCAATAATGTGAACCCACCAATAACGAGTGCTCAGAACAACAATGGCATGCCGCCTCCTCCGCCGCCACCGCAGCCGCAACCACCACTGCCTCCGTATTATACCACAGACAATAACGACTTGGAAATTTCGACGCATCTGGAGGAGCAAAAGATGAGGCGGTTCGATGCCTATTGGAGGTACATCCTAAGGAGGAAAACACATAAACGTGCCAAGGAGAAGAAGAAGGCAGCAGCTGCTGCATCCCCGCCGGCTCCTCCTCTGGCAGCGGCAGCGGCAGCACAGCCGCCTCAAGGTCCACCGCCGAAGCAGATCGCGCTGCCAGGAGCGGTGGCTTCGGACGCGGAGAACCGCGAGCTTTCTAGGGCTGTGGAGAAGATGAATGCCCTAGGAGAGTCCTCTGGGAAGAAAATACTAGAAGGTAAACATTATTCTTTTCCCCTTATTGACTATTTCAGAAAAATATGGAAGGTGTCTGAAAGATTTTGCTTGCATGAATTAATTGTGTATATATCCTGATATATTTCCAAAGAAGATGCTTCTCATTATCGACTTTAATATTTTACTTGCATGCAAATGTAAAGCTGATTTATATCCTAGTTTGCTTCATTGTATTCCAGTGTGTTTAGTTTTGAAGTCTGGAAATTAAGATGAGCCAATGAGTACTTGTGATTTTCCAATGATTAACATATGTGTCGTGTACCTTACCAAAAAAACATATGTGTCGTGTTTAAGGTTGCAAGATTTGAACATTAGATTAATCATGCAGTCTTAAGTCACCGTTGGATAATTCTACGTACCAGATAAAGTTACAATAAATTGTAGCGATCCAACCATGTAAGAACAAATATAGCACAACCATTAATGTCACATAGAGTCTGACGTGAGCATGTCGTGGCATCTGACACTCGTAACCATTTACGTCTATGATTAAACTCATTGTTACCTAATTCACACGTCGACAAATGAAATAAAGGACAGACCGACGAAGTTGAAGCAATTGGATTGGATATGCTGGCAATTTTTAGTTATCAGTATATCTACATAATCAAAGCCAAATTCATTCAACCGAAGCGTTTAATCTCTTCTCGTGGATTAATGTAGTTGAAGTTGTAATTCATAGTTGTTCTCTTTCTCTTGTTTTTAACTAAAACTTATGCATTTTGATCCCTCCTTCACCTATATCAACCGCACTCGATTATATATTACAGTAGCTGTCTTAGAAAAATTTATAATTTCTTTTGTTTTTTACAACATTTTGCATAGGAGCAAGTGCTCTCGCCACTGGCATAGGCTCTTCGAGCTCTCAGCAGCCATGGACATCTCACCAACCAAACTCAGATGCAAAAGCCTATGCTGCAAAGGCGATCTGTAGGAAGGCGGCCATTGTGATTGACAACATCTCTCACAACGAGCAGATCAAAAGACCTAGGCTCTTCAATGCTGTTCAAAACAATCATCACAAAAATAGCATCTTTAATGGAATGAGAGGGATGAAGCAATTGTTAACTGTGACCACCACAGGAGATGGGCCAGAGGGTAAGAAGGTGGACGGTTTCCTCTATAAGTATAGCAAGGGTGACCACATCTTCATTGTGTGCTTCTGCCATGGCGTCTTCCTCAACCCAATTGACTTTGTTAAGCATGCCAACCACACTGATTGGTCCAACCCCATGAAGCACATCGCCGTCACTTCGCCGCCGCCCATGTGATAGGGTTAATAATCTATATCCATATATATGGAAAGACTCATTTAATTTCGATATCCGCATGTCGTTATCTTCTGTTATCTCAAGTGTATGTAATAAAGTCCTTGTTGGGCGTTCTTAAAACCCTAGCTTGTGTGTTGCTTTTGGTTTATGCTGTGAAAAAGTCTTAAGTGGAACACATCACTATGTCATATTTGTGTGTTTTTCATTAATGTCAAACAGCATAATGTGGTGAATCTATCGATGTTTTTGGTATATCATATCTCTTTTGCTTAAATCAATGTCGAAAGACACATGATTATTAAATTTTTAGTGACGAACTAAGGTCGTTTTGCATCTAGTACTCAAGCGATCCATGCCACCACGAAGTTGTTCGCGATAGTACGCTGTCGCAAAAATTGTCGACAAAAATTTCTTCATCACACATCAGCAAGAGAAAATGTGCATTTCTGCGACGGCGAATGGAATAAATACTCTTGCTCAATGCTTTCGCTCTTTACAAATTACACCGGAATCAAATGACTAAAAGTAGGGACAGGATTGTCGTCCATTACTTGAGCGTCGGGTTGAAGCCAAGCATATGCGCGTGATGTTATCTCTATCAATCAATCAAGCGGAAAAGAGTGGCTTTATAACTTCAAATGAAAGCGACCAAACAGCAGAATGTGGTTTATGCTGTGAAAAGTGTCTTAAAACGGTGGTTTAAGCTGTGAAAAGAGTTCTAAGTAGGACTCTCAACTGTGTTATATATACGTGGGTTTCGTTAGTGTCAAACAGCAGAATGTGGTGAATTTGTCAATGTTCTTGGTATATTGCATCTCTTCTGAACAGCATAGAAGTTCATTTTATGGGCCAATCTCTTAGAATGCTTTCTTTGCAGAAGCAACGCCCACATAGATACGAGCAATTTGAAGATTTAAGACTCTGTTTGTTTCGCGGAAAATGAATAATTTGGAAAATATTTTCTTCGAAATGATTGTCTGTATCGCTTATGAAAATGAATGGACGAAAAATATATTCATCCTTTATGAAAATATTCAGATATAATTTGTTGTCGACAATGAAAATGTTTTTTATTGACTGATTATTTAAAAGCGATAAAAAAGATCATTTTCAAGAATATATTTTTCAAATCATTCATTTTTCATGAAATAAACGGAGTCTAATCTCCGTTGCCGCATCAAATTTTTGCACAAACATAAGAATTCTCGTATTGACCCAGAAAAAGGTCTTCTTTATTGACCCAAAGAAAAGTCTCATGAAGATTGGTTTAGCTCATGTCATAACGTGGGAGGAGCCTGCGACGAACATGGGGAAGCCGTCTTTTCGGAACTTTAATCGAGGGGAAGTTTGTAAATGTATACGTATGCAAACAGTAAAAGTTTGTTTCAGTAATCTAAAAGCGTCATGTTATCATTTATAACAGGAATAAGGACAGCGCAAGTGCTATAACTTTCGTATGGCGCTCATTTGAATATCATAACTTTTTTTTTCGACCACTTAAATGTCAAATCGGTGAAAAATTGTTAACTTGAGTGCCTATTCCGGTGAATCATCCTACGTGGCATTTCAAATTAAATTTTTACCGTGACGTGGCTTTTTTAAAAGAAACTTAAGTCCAAGTTGGCTAATCTTTGATTGGCATGGCAAGAAAGGGTAAAAACGACGTCATTTTGACCCTCTCTTCCCCAAACTCGGTTCAAAATGAAACCCTAAATTCTAGAAAGGGGAATGCTTTTGCAATAAGCTTGAGCAATTGAGAGGTTTGGAGTTGAGATGAGCAGCAGAGAGTTCAAGCTTACGAGACAGCAAAGTGGGGGACCAGTCAAATTTGCTTCGGTTAGATTGAGATGATGATGAGTGTAACAGCGCGATGCAAGGAGTTGCGCTTGGAGGAATGGCAAAGAAATTGTTGGGTCTAGGACATGAATCGCTGTGGCCCTCGCTGGAATCCTGCAAATCGCAGAGAAATAAGGGGATGGAGATGCTACATTGGCTGTGTCAGGGGAAAATCACCAGCATCTTACATCTCTTCTCGGCCACTACTGCTTTCTTTCTCTCTTTTTTCCTCTGTTTTGACGACTCATCTCGTTTCCAGTTCAGCCCCCATTCTAATTTTCTTTGACCTATCACTTTTCAGCTTTCATAAATTTTCATCTCCCTCTCTCGATTCACGTTTTCCCCCCTTTTCAAGCCCTTCGCCTGAACATTTCCTCCAAAATTTTTGCCAAGTTCATGGTTCTAGCTTGCAAAAGACCCCCCCACCGAATCTACTCACTCTTTTTTTAAAATTTTGATTCTTGTATATATGTCAATTGGACACCGAAGTTGAATAACTAAACTTTGTTGAGATATCACGGCTCAACCATGGAGAAGGACAGAGAGAAACAGACGATTTGGCGAGCGACAAATCCCTTCTCCTTTTTTCTTTTCTCTTTTTGGTTTTTTTCTTCTTTTTTTTAACTGACATGGCCAAAACTACGTCCTGATTGGATTATTTCCGACGAGCCATGTTAGCCTAATTATAATAAATTAATGCCCTGTTGGATTTTCGGGCCATCTAAATCGCTGATGGCACTTAAGTGAACGATTTTTAAAAAAATTGGCACTCATGTGATTGAAAAAAAAAAGGTTACGGTATTCAAGTAAGCGCCGTACGAAAGTTATGGCACTTATACTGTTCTTGACCCTCTATAACAGGTTGGATTTTCTAGTTCGCGACAAGTTTTCGTAGAGAATATAGATGATTCTTTTGATCATGGGAGTTAGGTAGAAAAAACTTTCTCAAATTTCTCGTCTTTGACTAAACAATTTGAAATTTTAAATCTTTTCTAATTGGAAAATGCTTAGTAAGTGTGCAAGCCGACAGAGATGCGTTGGGACACCCCTCCGTTCTTTCAGTGCAAAACCATTAAAGGCTTCCACTTTGCGGTTCCACCGCGATGTCGCTCACTTGGTCTGGTGCTGAGATATAACGTTAACGCTGCGGAAGGTCAAAGCCTCATGCAAAATATTGTTATGAAGTCGCTGCTGCAACTTCGACAATTGTCAATGAGCCACCAAAAAGACAACCTGCACCTCTCCGAGCTTTGGTAACTGATTGCTGTCCCCTTTTGCTGTTCTGGTCCCTCATGTTTCTCTCGTTTTGCATCTGGACCCCAACTTCATCACCGACTCGACAGCAGAGCTCCAAAAACCTCCTGGTCATCTTACCATCTTCTCTGTCGTTTTATTTGGTAAGCCAGGTAAGGTGGAGATAGGGAAAAGATGGCCAAGAAATCAGTGCAGTAGCGTCATTATGGTGAGTATGATGATGCCGTGTGTATCAGACTGCAGTCTATAATAATATCGAGTGTTGAATGCGAGCCGCTTGTTTTGAATGTCCATCCGCAGCTTCCGACGTCACCCCGACAACCCCGTTTTTCCCATATCGGGTCTTTGCGAGCTTGATGTCGTCCGTACAGTAACCTGTCGATAATTTTTTTTTTAATGTAAAATGTAAGTAGTATTTATAAGTTGACGTACAGAAGCTTATGGGCATTTCCCAGCATTACAAATAGAACTAAGATCACAAAAAAATAGAGTGAGGGAGTCTCCATATAGAAGCCAATATTTCATTTTTCCGGGATGGTTTAAAAAATTTGTAGTGCGAAGGTCGCCCTCTAACAAGTTTGCGAACTTTAGCCAAAATGATAAGGGCGTCATTTGACTTTTGTTGAAAGCATCTATGATTACGCTCCATCCAAATGCAATATATTCCTAACCTGTCATTCATATTTCTCTCTTATTTTGGCGAAATGCAGTGCGGTGCAGCGCACGCGTTCTCTATGGACTCGGCGACTCGACGCGCAACCAACACCCGAGATGCAGCAGGGCTCCAAGGGTTTTTGACGATTTGAAAGGGAAAGTTGGTCGAAATTCAAGGAAAGCAATTCAATGCAGCTTACCTAACCATAGATAATGAAGAAACAGAGCCTAAAACTCATCCACTGACGCAACGCCAAACTCCACTGCCCGCCACGTGTCGTCCAGGAAGATCTGTGTTGTCGCCTCAAAAGGAAACACACTCACACACTCACTACAGCATCCTTATAAGCTCTCATTTGCCATTTCTCAGCACATGCTGCACTTGCTTTTGAATGAGAATTGCTCTGTGGTCGCCTCCAATTCTCTCTTCAAACGCTGGTTTCGGGTTCCTCCAGCAAGATCTCGACGGATAAGTCCATTTCGAGCCCGCTTCTCTGGCAGTCATCGCCGTAGACAAACCATCTTCCTCTCACCTTTTGGTACGTAAGATCTTGCCCTTGTTTACGTGGTTTTTTGTTTCTGTCAGGCATCGTGGTTCCTGATAATTCTAAAGCTCAAAAGGATTTCGAGATCTGAACCTGTGGAATCTTGTTTGACAATGAAGAATCTTTCTCTGCAAAATTCAAGATCTGACGATTCCAAGATCCTTTTCTTTTACAGTGCAAAGTCATGGACGGGAAAGATCAACATGGGAATTGGTCTTATGACGATCAAGTCAACAGCACCACTTCAGTGCTGAGCGATGGGGGCCCACAAAATCCCTTGCAGGGAATTTCACAAGAACCCCCAAAGGAAATCCAATTTTTCGAAATCGCCCCTCCTGCCGAAGAGCTGGTCGACCTGAACCTTGAACTCTCTCTTGGCGGTCTCTACAGAGAGATCAAGGAAAGCCCTAACCCTAACCCAGTCTTGTTGACTGCAACAAGAGCAGCCGCTGTCAATAATGCGAACCCACCAATAATGAGTGCTCAGAACAACGATGGCATTCTGCCTCCGCCGCCGCAGCCACAACCACCACCACCGCTGCGTCCGTATTATACCACAGACAATAACAACATGGATCAAATTGCGTTGAACGAAATTGCAACATATCTGGAGGCGCAAAAGAAGAGGCAGGTCGAGACCTATAGGAGGTACATCCTGAGGAGGAGGGCCCGTGAACGTACCAAGGTAAAGAAGAAGGCGGCGGCTGCTGCATCCCCGCCAGCTCCTCCTCTGGCGGCAGCAGCAGCAGCTGCAGCACAACCGCCTCAAGGTCCACTGCCGAAGCCAACTGCGTTGCCAGTGGTGGTGGCTTTGGACACGGAGAATCGCGAGCTTTCTAGGGCTGTGGAGAAGATGAATGCCCTAGGAGAGTCCTCTGGGAAAAAAATACTAGAAGGTAAACATCACTCTTTTCCCCTTATTTGACTATTTCACAGAAAAATGGAAGGTGTTTGAAAGATTTCGCTTGCATGAATTAATTGTGTATATAAACTGATATATTTCCAAAGAAGATGATGCTCATTTATGACTTTAATTTTTCACTTGCATGCCTAAGCTGATTTATATCCTAGTCTGCTTCACTGTATTCCGGTGTGTTTAGTTTTGAAGTTTGGAAATTAAGATAGCCTGAGTACTTGTGATTTTCCCTATTGATTAACGGATGCTTCGGTGTTTAAGGTTGCAAGATTTGAATAATAGGTTCATCATTTGGTTTTAAGTCACTGCTGGATAATTCTACGTGCTAGGTAAAGTTACGATAAATTGTAGTGATCCGACCATGTGAGAACAAATATAGCGCAACCATTAACGTCATAGCATATGTCGTCAACGTGCTGTGGCATCTGACACTCATAACCATTTACGTCTAAGATTAAACTCATTGTTACCTAATTCACATGTCGACAAATGAAATAAGGGACGGACATACTAACTTGAAGCAATTGGATTGGATATGTTAGCAATTCTTAATTATTAGTAGATAGACATAATCAAAGCCAAATTGATTCAACTGCTCATAAACTTGAAGCTTTAATTTCTTCTTGTGGATTAATGTAATTGAAGTTGTAATCAATAGTTGTTCTCTTTCTCTTGTTCGTTACTAAAACTCATGTATTTTGATCCCTCCGTCACCTATATCAACTACACTCGATTAAATATACAATAGCTATCTTAGAAAAACTTATAGTTTCTTTTGTTTTTTACAACATTTTGCATAGGAGCAAGTGCTCTCGCCACGGGCATAGGCTCTTCCAGCTCTCAGGAGCTATGGACATCTCACCAACCAAATTCGGACACGAAAGCCTTCGCTGCGAAGGTGATCTATGGGAAGTCGGCAATTGTGATTGAGAACATCTCTCACGATGAGCAAATCAAGAGACCTAGGCTCTTCAATGTTGTTCAAAACAACAATGCTCATAAAGAAAATAGCATCGTTAATGGAGGGAGAGGGATGAAGCAATTGCTGACTGTGACCACCACAGGAGATGGGTCAAAGGGCAAGAAGGTGGATGGGTTCCTCTATAAGTACGGTAAGGGTGACCACATCTTCATCATGTGCTTCTGCCACGGCGTCTTCCTCAGCCCGACTGACTTTGTCAAGCACGCCAACCACACTGATTGGTCCAATCCCATGAAGCACATCGCCGTCACTTCGCCGCCACCCCTGTGATAGGGTTAGAATCTATATCCATATATATGGAAAGAATCATTTAATTTCAGTATTCACATGTCGTTATCATATTTTGTCTCAAGTTTATGTAATAAAGTCCTTTTGGGTGTTCTTAAAACCCTAGCTTGTGTGTTGCTTTGATTTATGCTGTGAAAAGAGTCTTAAGTAGAACTCTCAACTATGTCATATTTGTGTGTTTTTCATTAATGTCAAACAGCATAATGTGGTGAATCTGTCAATGTTTTTGGTGTATCATATCTCTTTTTCTTAAATCAATGTCGAAAGACACATGATTAATAAAATCTTATCGACGGGCTATGGTCGTTTTGCATATAATACTCAAGCGATCCATGCATCCAGGAAGTTGTTCATACTAGTACGCCGTCGCAAAAAATGTCAACATTAATTTCTTCATCACATATCAGCAAGAGAAAATGTGTGTTTCCGTGACAGCAAATGGAATAAATATTCTTTGCTCAATGCTTTCGCTTTTGCCTTTTTTTCCAAATTACACCCAAATCAAATGACTAAGAGTAAGGACGGTATTACCGTTCATTACTTGAGCGTGGCGTTGAAGCCAAGCAGAACGAGTTGAATCTGACTAACCGGACTTACACCGCTAAGGTTACCTCCCTCCTCTTTCCCCTCTCCTCCATGATCATTTCTGCCTAGCAAGTCGCTTTCCGCATCGCAAGACATTGCTAGATCAGTCCAGCTGCTTGTTTTTTCGAAAAACACCTAGACTTTGTCAGTTTGAATGCTGCGGAAGGTAGTTTACTCGTCGTCGCCACTAGTTTTGCTGATTGCGCCGTTGCAATTGTTTTGGAAAAAAATGAGTGTTGGGTTTGTGGATTGCGTAAGATGTAAAATTTTAGAGATTGTGCAGAAGTATGGTGTGATATCGATGATAGTTTGTAGTAAAAAAAAGAATGCTGGGTTTGTGGATTGCGTAAGATGTAAAATTTTAGAAATTGTGCAGAAGTATGACGTGATATCGATGATAGTTTGTAGTTTTTGTGATGTGTGCAAGTATATGTGTGTATGGTATAATTGATAAACGATGGACAAGGAGCAAAGTATATGAGACAAGGATAGTTTCACTAGTTTATAGAAATTATTTTACAATAGTTGAAGGAGGTGTTGTGGTGGAGGAGTATCATGATATATGGATGTTTTTGCTCATCTCCCCACACATCTTTACATGAATGGGTTATGGCCTTTTTATAGGCATTTCCACCGACTAAGTACAACCGCCCTGGAGGATTCTGGACTTCCTCATCTCTTAGTCAATTCTCAATCTGGATTCCTCCGGAATGCTGTCCGCGTCCATGTTTTTCTTCAGCCCACTATTTTTTACTTTAAGTCTACATCTTCAACTTGGACACATCTTGTTGTTCACGTTCATGTCTTCAAGGTCCAGCTAGCCACAACCATTCTCAACAATTCTAGACAAATCCATTTTACTTCTTGATTAAGCTAGCTGAACACTTCTTGAGAATTCTAAAGAATGTGAAAAATGGATCACAATTTCCAACACTCTCCCTTGATCCATTTTCGTGGTATTCTGAGCATATTTCTTAGTGTCTTGGACATACCTTGAAATTCTTCTTGTAATTTGTCCCATGTCTTGTCATGATCCCTTGCATAGTATTGCTAGAACACTTGCACCTGCCTTCGATTTTTCCAATGAAGTCCCATATGTCTCAGGTCATCAAAATTGTTTTTAGTTGTAGTTTTTCACATTGAATGTAGAGATGGGTATTGTTTTGTGAGGCAACGTTGGCCTTTGTTTTAGCTCTGGCTGAGGCTCGGGCTTTAGCTCTGGCTCCGGCTTTGGATCTAGCTTTTGCTCTGGCTCTAGCTCTTGTATGCTCTGGCTCTGGCTTCGGCTCCGCCTTTGACTCTATTGGCTCTCGCTCGGGCTCTGGCCTTGATTTTAGTTGAGGATGATAAGGAAAAATACCCAAAACCATCCAACTGTGCCTGGCTCTGATTTTCGTGCTTGGTTCAGACAAATGCCCAGAACCAAACGATCAAACCTAACCTCTAATACCATGTAAAATTTCAAAGATTGTGCAGAAGTATGGTGTGATACCAATGATAGTTTGTAGTTTTTGTAATGTGTGCAAATGTATGTGTGTATGGTATAGTTGGTAGAGGATGGACAAGAAGCAAAGTATATGGGACAAGGACAGTTTCACTAGTTTATAGAAATTATTTTACAATAATTGGAGGAGGTGTTGTGGTGAAGGAGTATCATGATATATGGAGTTTTTGCTCGTCTCCCCTACACCTCTTTACATGAATGGGTTATGGCCTTTTTATAGGCATTTCCACCGACTAAGTACAACCGCCCTAGAGGATTCTGGACTTCCTTATCTCTTAGACAATTCTCAATCTGGATTCCTCCGGAATGCTGTCCACGTCCATGTTTTTCTTCAGCCCGCTATTTTTTACTTTAAGTCTTCCTCTTCAACTTGGACACTTCTTGTTGTTCACGTTCATGTCTTCCAGGTTCAGCTAGCCATGACCATTCTCAACAATTGTAGACAAATCCATTTTACTTCTTGATTAAGCTAGCTGAACACTTCTTGAGAATTCTAAAGAATGTGAAAAATGGATCACAATTTCCAACAAGGCTATGGTGTGCAGCAGGAAATGAAGCCAAAGAGCTTGACCTGGCCAAATTGACCCATTCGATGTGCGCATTCCGTATTCTTTCCAAAGCTACCTTAGTTTCTTTTTAACTTGATGAACTTATGTTTGGCGAATGAGGCTGATAATGTTCCTCATATTGGATGAAAGTATTTAGGAAACATTAGCTAAAGCTGAGAAAATGCTTTGTTGATGAGTGATCCTTCTTGTCTGCCTCTCTGCACTTGTTATTGGTTGCTGGAAAAGTTCTTTCATTTACTGGACTCTTGCGGCAGTTAGTCCAGATAAGGTCAGTCGAGTTCCATTCATGTTTCCGACGCGTGTCCGGGTCTGAACTCTCATGATTGGGAGTCGAAAGTCATTATTCACAGTTTCTACAGTGAAAAGAGTCCTAAAACTGTGATTTATGGGCAAAAGTACACTACAAGTGCCATAACTTGTGTACAGCGCTCACTTTAGTGCTAAAATTTTTGAAAAACGATCACTTAAGTGCTAAAATTTTTGAAAAACGATCACTTAAGTGCCAACTTCGGTGCCGTACACAATTTTTCGCCGGAAATCTGACGTGGCATTTTTTTTATTAATTTCTGAAGCTGACGTGGCTCGCCGGAGTCTCGCCGGAGATTGGCACTTAAGTGATCGTTTTTCAAAAATTTTAACACTTAAATGATCGTTTTTCAAAAATTTTAGCACTTAAGTGATCGTTTTTCAAAAATTTTAGCACTGAAGTGATCCAAAAAAAGGTTATGACACTTAAGCGATCGTTTTTCCTCCGACTTGGCACCGAAGTGATCCGAAAAAAAGTTATGGCACCAAAGTGAGTGCCGTACACAAGTTATGGCACTTATAGTGTCTTTTTGCCGTGATTTATGCTGTGAAAAGAGTCTTAAGTAGGACTCTCGACTGTGTTATATGTGTGTGTTTCATTAATGTCAGACAGCAGAATGTGGGGAATTTGTCAATGTTCTTGGTATGTTACATCTCTTCTGCTTAGATCAATGTCAAAAGACACGTGATATAATAAAATCTGACCAACGAGCTATGGTCATTTTGCCTCTAGTACACATATGATCCTTGCGGTTAAGTAGTTGTTGTCACTCTATATGGCCAACCCTTCGGCCAAAAAAGTCACCACAAACAACTTGCAAATGCATCTATAAGCGGTCCATTTACAATCATTTAAGGCTCCGAACCATACCCAGCCCCAACTAAATATAACATTGAATCTGACTAATCTGATGGCTAATCAGCAAATGAAAACGTCCGAACTCCCTTTTGGCAATACATCATCAAATCAACCCAAAATTCTCCCTCCCCATTCAATGAATCAAGTGCATCCTAGTTCACGATTGATGTGAAAAAAAAAATTAACATCATAAAATATGCCAAAATCCAAAGAAAAACGTGGACCCGAATAAGACTTTCGATTCTGCGAGCATGCAGACAAGAACTGCCCATGGTCCACACGTCGCAAGACATTGCCAGTCCGTTCTCAATATTTTCTCCTTGAGCTAGCCACTCTTCCAAGATTAGGCGTTCAATCCTTGAGAAACACAACGAGCTGTCCCATGAAAAAGAATGGATGATTGGCGAGCCCCTACCGAGAGAATATGCTTCGGGAGTTCGCATGTAGATCCACGGCGCGAATTATTCCAACCCAATCCTATAATCCTATTAAAAGACGACCAGACCGAGAAGCAATCGATAAATTTGGACTGTAGACAATGTAAAGCCAATTATAACAACCAAGAAAAGAGTCCAAGGAAACGAAACCAGACGACAGAGAGAGGGAGATAGGACGAGAGAGAGAGTTTTAGGAGAGAGGGAGAGCAGGGTCGAGACAAGAATCATGGGTTCTCCCCGTTAGTTGAAATCTTAAAGCTTGATTGATTCTGAAAATGAAGTAGTATGTCCACTTATGAAAAATTGCTTCTGATTGCTTTTAGTAGTCAAATAGTCGACCAAAATGAGATCAGCTTCATATTTTTGGACTACTTCATTCAGGAACTTTCTGTCCGCTGCTACATGATATTGTTCCTTTGTAGGGGCTTGTGACTGGGGACGACGGAACACTTCTCTTGGTTATGTGCTTTGTGCTTAAAACTTCTTTCATGTCATATCGGGTCGACATTCATTTTGCTAATTCCCGTGGAAGTTGCTCAGCAGCACACCAGAAATGTTGTACATGTTCTGGTTGTTATATTGGCATTCGTAGAAGAAATCGACTAACATTTCAATACACAACAAAAGAATTATCTAGGAATATAGATTGAATCACCAGCGAATGATGGACAAATCTACAACTTCACAACTGTTCGCTCGTTTTACGACGAGGAATATCCTTC